CTGGCCAATCGGATATGTCGCTCTGTTAACATGTCAGATCTTTATTTATGCCGAGTGATCCTCAAAACATGTATCCTGAAATCCGATCAAACCAGCAATGATCAAAGAGCAGCATTCTGGCTGACCGTTTCCGCCTGTGGCTTGTGTTTACAGTATATGCAAGTGCTCTCAGTGGAGCATTTGGTCAGCGTGAAGCATTACATCTTTCCATTACCGCATGTTGGCTCAATATGCCACATTTGCAGAGTGATTTTTCACGACTCATTCAGTAATTGGTTGAAACGGTGTCTGGTTGGAAGTGTTTCTGCTTGCGCCTGCTACATCCATTACCAATATTACCAAGCCGTGAAACTGACATAAAATATCCTCAGTCCTCTGATTCTCTGCAAATTTGTTCATTTTTGAGCATTAAGTAATATACACATGCACACTGAATGACTGGTGTTTGATTATCTGAATGCTCCAGACTTGACTTTTCCCATTTTTGCTTTCAAGTTTATCATTCATAAGGAAGATTGAGGGATTTGGGATGGCGTGCATCTGTGTGTTTGTATGATTTTATTTGAGTTTCGTTGTCAGATTGAGGTTGATGTCTGTTCTGGGATCAGTAAACATTACATGCTCAAATATCGAAGTTCCAGCTGGTGTGAGTCTCACGCTGCTGTCTGGATGCTGTCAGAACCTACTGTGGTTGGGAATGACATGTTGTCACGAACAGCAATGAAACTGTACAGCGCTGAATCCATATTCATGATGGCGTAATGGTGTGTCCTCATTAAAGCCGTCGGAACTGTGGCCTGACTTGTTTTGTGGAGACTCAGCTTGCGTCATTCATTAGATCTTATATTTTCCTGTCTTTTTGATTAATGGTGATGTGAACAAATGGATAAATAAAATAAGCAATCCTCACCTTATTTATTTTTTGTTAGCTTTTGATTTGGTGTTATTTTGTTTTTTATTTGGGTTTGTTTTGTTTTTTGTTTTGGGTTTTTTGTTGTTTGCTTGGGTTTGTTTTGTTTTTGGTTTGTTTGTTTTGCTTGCCATCTTGTTTGTATTTGTTTTGGTTTGGTTTTTCATTTTGTTTGGGCTTGTTTTCATTTTGTTTTTTGTTTGTGTTTTATTTGTTTTGTTCAGGTTTGTTATTGTTTTGTTTTTTTGTTTTTAGTTTGTTAAGTTTAGTTTTAATATGTTTTAGTTTTGTTTGGGTTTGTTGTTTTTTTTACCTTTTTTCATTTTGTTTAAGCTTTTTTTGTATTTTTGTTTTGTTTAGGTGTTTTTGGGCCTGTTTTGTTTTGTTACTTTGTTTGTTTTTTTAGTTTTTTTTAATCTGGGTTTGTTTAGTTTTAGTTTTATTTGTTTTTTTGTTTGGGTTTGTTTTGGTTTAGTTTTTTATTTATGTTTGTTCTGGCTTTTTGTTTCTCATTTGTTTTGTTTTGTTTTTGTTTTGTTTGGGTTTGTTTGAGTTTGTTTTGTTTGGGCTTGGTTTTGTTTTGTCGAGTTGATTTGTTTGGGTTTGTTTGTTTTGTTGTTTGGTTTGTTTTGGGTTTGTTTTTTTGTTTTGGTTTGTATTGTTTTTGTTTTGTTTGATTAGATTTTTTTTTTAGTTTTTTGGTTTGTTTGTTTTTGGTTTTGGTGTTTTTTTTATCTGTGTGTTCATATATTATATGATTTAAATATAGTTTGGTTTGGGTTTGTTTGTATTATTTAGTTATCCGTTTAGTTTTTGGATTGCATTTGATTTGTCATTTTAGTTTTACTGTTTTTTCTTTGCTATCTTCTATCTTTTGTTTTGACTTTTTGTCTGTTATTTTAGTTTATCTTTTGTTTTCATTTAGTTTTCAGTTTTGTTTTGTTTTTTTGTTTTTTTATGTTTTGTTTGAGATTTGTTGTATTTTGTCTTTTTTATTTTATTAAGTTTTTCTTTAACTATGTTCTTGTTTTTATTTTAACATTTAAAAGAAAATGTCTTGTCTTGTTCACATTTCTAGCTTGGGCAAATTGGAAGCTATACTCATACCTGCAACTCCTACATAAATCCCACAACTCCTCTTATATAGTAGATCAAATACAACTCACAACACAGGGAATCACCCTCAAACCTGCCACTTCAGTGTTAAATTTTTTTCTCCAGCGTATATTTCTTGTTCTCTCCTCCTCCTCACACTCTCGGTGAGTTAAAAGCCTGCAGCTGTTGATGGCTCTATTGAAAAAGCCCACACTTCTCTCGCTCTCCACACTAGACCAGTGTCCCTTCACCAGTGACCAAACAAAGAGGCCTATGACCAGCACACATATACACGCACACACACAGTCAGTGTAGGAGTTGAGCGTGTGTCACATGCTCTGGGTGGGTGTAATCAGTGATGAATGAAGCTGATGGAGGCCATGTAGATGAGCTGTGCAGGAAGGTTTCTGAGCTTCTGTTTCCGCCACAGGAACCTTCCTCTTGTTCATGAGACTTTGATCTTTTTTGCTATTTTGCTGCAGCTGCTGTTCAAGGTCTTCTTTGATATGACACTCAGTGACATGTACTATTTTAGCAACATAGATGTGCTATGCTTTCTTGTATATCTGTCTTGTCTATTTATCTCTGTGTATATAATATTTATTATACAGTATGTCCAGTTCCAGCGTGTTTGGTGTAGCCTATTTAAACTATTTCATCACAGATTATTGTGATTATTTCTTGATGCTTCAATATTTTATTGATTTAGTTTTGTTAAATTTTACTTTATTTTTTCATTCTTTTTTATATATTTTATTAGTTTGAGCTTTTGATTTCATGCAGTTCGTTTCATTTATCTGAACGCAGTAGTTAAAATATTGTAATAAAATTTTAATGTTTAACTAAAGTAAACATTTTTGAATAAAAAGTTTTTTTCCTGAGTAAAATGTTTAGACATTGGAATAATATTAAAAACCCATGGTATGTAATTTTTAATAATAACAATTGTGTCATTTTAATAATAATAATAATAGTAGTAATATTAATATTATTAATAATAATAATAATAATAATAATAATAATAATAATAATAATGATAAGGATAATGATTATTATGATGACTATGATGATGATGATAATAATAATAAAAAAATAATAATAATAATAATAATAATATAAAAAATATGCTGATTCATTGATTTATAGATTGATTCATTCTATTTATTTTTATTTTTGTTTATTTTGGCTTGTTTTGTAATTATTCCATTTATTTATTTATTTTTTTTAATTAATTTGTCTGTTTAGTCTTCAGTCTGTTTTTACAGTTATTTTATTAAGTTCTAGAAATAGAAAAACAATAATATTCAACAATAATACATTTATTACTGCTACAAATACTCCATAGTACTGGTATTTATTTATTTGTTTATTATTAATTTGTCGGGTTAATCTTTGGTCTGTTTTGAAAATTATTTTATTAAGTTTTCGAAGTACAAAAATATTAAGAAATTGTATTAATAATAATTAATTATTTTAATTAAAACATTACTGCTACAGTACTGCTATTTATTTATTTATTTATCATTAATTTGTCTGGTTAATCTTTGGACTGTTTTGAAAATTATTTTATTAAGTTTTCGAAGTACAAAAATATTAAGAAATTGTATTAATAATAATTAATTATTTTAACTAAAACATTACTGCTACAGTACTGCTATCTATTTATTTATTTATCATTAATTTGTCTGGTTAATCTTTGGACTGTTTTGGCTGTTACAAAAATATTAATAAATAATAATACCTTTATTACTATTATTAATACTTTTTATAGTGCTATTATTTGTTTGTTCATTTATTTATTTATTTCAATTGCGATTTTTATATGGTTTGATTATGCTTTCAGGTGATTAAGTATTTGTTGACCACTTTGTCCTCACGGTAGCCTCAAGCTGCACCCTCTCTGGCCACAGCAGCTCTGTGTTGAGTGGTAGTGGACCGTGATGTTTATATGTGGGTCACATTCCTCTCTAGGTCTGTTCTGAACGCCCCCCGCATGCCCCCAAAAAACCTTCCTACCCAAAAGCACAGCCTTGAGGATTTCCAACCACATGTTCCTCTCTGGAGGTAGAAGCTCTTACCGCTGCTAATAATTCTGTTCGCAAGCCCAAGACAGACACATTTCTTCATCAAGAAAGTCAATTCTGTGGTCGAAGGAAAATGCTTTAGCCATCCAAGTCGAAACCATTGACATTCTTGTCCTGCGTTTCGGTAGCAGAGGAAACCATCTTTCACCTGGTGCATCTGTTTTTCCTGCTGGATAATCTGGAGCAGATGAAAGAAATTCAGCATACGTACAATTTACAAAATCTACTGTTGGAATTAGATTTTTGTAAATTGACGAATGCCTTTTCCATCAAATGTCTATTTACTGTTAATAGCTAATTTACTACCCCTCTGCTCATCCAAAATGGTTATTCGTAAATATCCAAGTCAGTTGCTGCCAGCACTTTTATAATCAAAAAGCCCAATCAAAACATGCAGGCAAAACAAAAACTATTACCGGTGGCTTCTGATAATACCTTAAGGTTTAATCATACCCTTTAATTCAGAGCCTTGTGCCGTTTTAAGAGTTTGTGTGTGTGCTAACGTAATATGCACCATAACAAGTTTGGTCACAGTTTATTTTAATGTTCACAAGTTAAAAACTAATCATTAACAAACCAACTAAGACTTGTAGGTCAATAAACTACTAATTAGCTACTTATTAATAGTTCGTAAGGTAGCTGGGTTAAGATAATGGGTAGGATTATAGATGTAATATAAGATCATACTTTATACGTGTGAATAAACAGTTAATAGTATGATAACAGGCAGGTAATAAGCCAAATAGTATATGGTGTGAATTGTTATACTAGTGGCCTAAGACTTTTGCACAGTGCTGTACATCACAATAGGAAATACAGTTGCAATTGTAACTTTTGTTTTATGCCAACTGCAAGATATGTCTGTTTTGGGCTTAAAATGACTCTAAACTGAAAAAATCTTCTCATTGCAGATCCACAGAGAGACCGAAACATTTTATTCAGTTGATGCCAGTCAAGACTCTGTACTCCAGGAGAAGAAATCTTCTTCAGTGAGCTCAGGTGACATACATGCATATACTCTTAAATCCACTCTTCACAACTCTGATTTTGCACCAAATCCAATACAGAAACCAAAACATTCATGGCTTTTGTCAAACCAAGAGTCCATGCATGAATTTACTCTGAAATAGTACAGAAATTCATTGGACGCACAGAATTTGACGTCAGCATTGCATAACACAGTGAGTTACAATACAGATATCACGAAAACCTCTTTACGTCATCTTCTAGCATGCCACAAACTAAATGATGCCCTCTTTGCTCAGACTCTCTGTCTGTGTGAGGCCAATCTAAATAGTGCCCACATTGTGTCGCATGGGAAACGGCATACACATCCTCCCAAAGACTAAATGAATGTCTTCCTGTCAATACAACAGACTCCACTAGTCAAATAAGATCATCTATTTAAGTCGATGACATCAACATCCTGTCTGCGGCCATTGCGAGACGAGATGCAACACAATGGACTGAGTCACTTTCAGAATCACAGTGTATCGATTCATTCTCTTTGCTGTTTGTTATTCTTGTGTTGTTCATTGACTTCATCTGAATTCATTATTATGATTTTATTTTTCAGAAATCCCCTCTTTGACCCCCTCACCTGAGAGCATACGTCACAAAGAGTCGCCAAGCACTATGCGAGGGTCCGCCAGCGATGGAGACTCTCTGTTTAGTCAGGATCTGGGCGAGGACAGCGTTTTTAATAATAAGGTTGGTGCTGATTTGGTGCGTTTTCCCATATTCTATCCGATTCGGTTTGTTTTTTTCAAAGCAGAGTTGCTGTTTGTTTTGTTTCTATGTGTCTTTACTAAGCCAGATGAAGCGGTTATGTAATGCGTCTCATTTTGTGCTCTACACACTGATTCTTGTGCTTCTGACATCATATCATGTGACGTGAGCAGATCTGCAGGCCAAGGCCATAATTATGAGCTCATCCTCAGGCGTTCTTCCTCTTATTTTCCCACCTCCTCTAAGAGTTTCCCTACGGATTCGATCTCCACCCCTTAAACTTCTTGCTTTCATTTCAAGATGTTTACCAGAGGCTTTGACACTTGAGTGTTGCTCTTAGCAAGTCAGAGAGAATGACTACATTTGTTTTAGAGAACTGTAATGTTTTGTTTTTGGGATTATACACTACCTGACAAAAGTCTTGTCACTTACGTTTTAGAAACAACCAATAATAACTTGACTTCTAGTTGATCAATTGGTATCAGAAGTGGCTTATATGAAATGCAAAGGCCTCTAGGTTACACTTCTTTTACCAAAATAAAATATGATCAAGCCTTGATTTTTAATTATTTAATTATGACAGTAAGGCCTGACTTTGCTTAGACAAAAGTCTTTTCACTTAACAGAAATAATGTAAAGTACAGAATATTCATATATAAAATAGAATTAATGTTGTGCGACTGTAAGGACTGCATCCATACATCTCTGCAATGACTCAAATAACTTATTAATTAAGTCTTCTGGACTGGCAAAGAAAGCGTTCTTGCAGGACTCCCAGAGTTTATCAATATTTTTTGGTTTCATTTTCAAACGTCCTCCATTATCTTACCCCAGACATGCTCAATAATGTTCATGTCTGGTGACTGGGCTGGCCAATCCTGGAGCACCTTGACCTTTTTTGCTTTCAGGAACTTTGATGTGGAGGCTGAAGTATGAGAAGGAGCGCTATCCTGCTGAAGAGTTTGCCCTCTCCTGCGTTTTGCAATGTTATGAGCCGCACTAATGTCTTGATACCTCAGGCTGTTGATATTGCCATCCACTCTGCAGCTCTTTCACACACCCCCATAATGAATGTTATCCCAAACCATGATTTTTCCTTTACCAAACTTGACTGATTTCTGTGAGAATCTTGGGTCCATTCCAGTCCCAATAGGCCTTCTGCAGTATTTGTGATGATTGGGATGCAGTTAAACAGAATAGATGATCCATTGGAAAATTTCCAAAAGTCAAGTTATTATTTGTTGCTCTTACAACTGGGATTGACGAAAAGACATTTGTCAGGTTGGTTATGTAGATTTGTTCATGATTTGTTAGTTTATTTTTTTATTTTTTGTATAAGCAAAATATATTTACCTCGAGTGGTACTTCCAACCCTCCTACATTTTTACATAACATTTGTTAATATAAATAAGCTAAATTTGCTAACACTTTTCTTAAAGGGGCTGTTTATAAGACTGTCATGGCACCTTTATAGTCACAATGTGACAAATCGTGAATATGAATGAGATTTTATGCGTGCTTACGGCATCTGTCGTTAAATATAACTCCCTCAATTGTCTAATTTTAAAGCAAATATGACATTCTTTGAAATGTCTTGAAATCCAGAGATGACTATCAATTTAACATAACTCGTCATAAATCTGTCATAAACATGATTGTAATGAGGCCAATATAATTGTGTCATAATAATAATAATAATAATAATAATAATAATAATACATTTTATTTAAAGGCACCTTTCTGGCAACTCAAGGACACCGTACAATTAAACAAGATATTTATTTTAATATATATATATATAACAACAGTACAGATACAATAAAGTATTAAAAGCCCCCTTAATTAAGTGAGTTTTGAGTCTTGCTTTGATTAATGTAATAGTCAATTTATGATAAATGTTGTCTGATACTTTTTTCCAGAGGAACAAACTAAATTTGTCATTAAATGTGTCAGTACTCGGTTTAATAATTGTTTAAAAACATTTAATGACAATTTTAATGTGTACCATTGTAGTTAAGGTCAATACATATATTAAAGATGTTGTTAGAATGTTTATAACACAATTTTAATGTCTTAAGGGATATCATGTTTAAGACAGATTTATGACAAGTTATGTTGTCTTGTTAATGTCAAGTTGTCGTGACAAAGACATCTCAAACATTGTCACCTTTGCATTTAAAATGACATAGGCATGTATAAAATCCCATTCATATTCATGGTGTGTCATGTTATGATTATAAAAGTTTCTGACAGTTTTATGAATGCCCCTTCAAGTAAAGTTTTAACCAAAATTTTCTGTGGCGTTTAGCTAATCTAGGCTTTTTATTAAGTTTTTTCATTCCGTAGTTGAGATTCAAACTTTTTTTTTTGGCCAAACTTTTTTTGTTGTCACATTTTTTATTTATTTTTTATTTTTTTACATAAGAACAATCAATATGTAATCAATGTTTATGGTTTATTTTGCCAAAAAATTTGAATGCTAATTTTGGTTAAGTTTATTTTCTGAGTACACTAACAGAACTAGCCTACTTCTTTTTACTAATATTGTGTGTAGTATGCTTAAGTTCTTTTCTGAAAGCAGGTAGAATCACTTCACCGCAGGTTGACTTGTGTTCTGGAAGTGTGTGTTTTTTTTTCTTCTTCTTCCCATAGCTCATAAAGTCAACCATTATGGTCAGTGTAATGTAGCCGCTAGCTCACCACACCCCTTGCCTGGCTGCGGTCTCAGCATGTGAGGAAACTAATGAGCCGCTGTGAATGGAAATGAGTGTCAGAGATGTGTGTGTTTCTATGTTATGTAAGCTTTACAAGGATGGAAAGAACTTGGAGACTCCTTGGGGTTTGCAGAAAGAAAGAAAAAACGAGTTTGCTCATGTGTAGTATACTGCAGATGTAAAGGTGTGGAACGTCATCAGCAGTTGTTTGCTAAATTCACATGTGCTCACCAGCAACTATCATTCTGCTACCGTTATCTTGTTGCCCATTGATGCCAAGCAGGGTTTGGCCTGGTCAGTACCAAGTTAAGAGAACATCTAGGTGAGCTACTGAAAGATATGCTAGTGATTCCAGCAGTAAGTGTTTACCCTTTGATATGTATGGGTTATAGTGTCCCAATACAAGCATGAAAGGTCATTTAAGTCAGTGTTTCCCAACCGTGTTCCTGAAGGCACACCAACAGTACACATTTTCAACCTCTTCCTAATCAAACACACCTGCATCAACTCATCAGAAAATTAGAAGAGACTCCAAAATCTGAAGTTAATTGTTCAGATAAGGGAGACATCCAAAATATGTATTGTTGTTGTGCCTCTTGGAAAAAGGTTGTGAAATACTGATTTAAGCAAACAAAAACTATTGGCCAAACCATTTGGACTTGTGGGGGAAACCAGAGCACACGGAGGAAACCAAGGCTAACATGAGGAGAACATGCAAACTCCACATAAAAATGCCAACTGACCCAGCCAGGGCTTGAACCAGCAACCTTCTTGATATGAGGCGACAACGCTATCCACTGCGCCATCACGCCGCCCTTTAAAGCATACAATACTGTGATAATATTGTATGGCGAGTTCAGTATTGGGATATGTATCAAATCGTAACCTGAGTGTATTGCTATACCCCTAGCTTCTAACTATCCCCATATCTGCTAATAGTCTTCATCAATCCCACTCCTCTCTGTCAATAAGCTGGTGTGTAGTGGGTGTTATTCTGGTGCATTGTGGCTACATCACACTACCTCTGGTTGAGGAATGTAAAAAGCAGGGGTGTCCAAACTTGGCCCCAGAGGGTTGGTGTCCTGGAGAGTTTAGCTCCAACCCTAAACAAACATACATGAACCAGCTAATCATGCTCTTACTAGATATACTAGAAACTTTCTGGCAGGTGCGTTGAAGCAAGTTGGAGATAAACTCTCAAGGACACCGGCCCTCCAGGAAAGAGTTTGGACACCCCTAGTTTTGGAGTGGCAGCACATGTCAAATTTCTTATTGTCTACCAAACATATGTCTAATTTCTTTCTCCATTACAGGCTGAGGACAGCATTACCATCACCAGTGGCGTGTCCATGTCCTATTCGTCCTCCACAGATGACTCTTCCAGCTTGGGAACCACTTGCGCCACCCCTCAGACTGGCACAGAGGCTCCTGCATCAGACCCCTTTCAGGAACAGCCCACATCTACTGGAGCTTCTGGGGAAACAGAGGAGGAAGAGAAAAAGGACCGTCTCACTGAGGTTCCGGAGCGATCGGCCATTTTACGGACCACCATACGATCACTGTCCCCTTTTCGAAGACACAGTTGGGGGCCGGGCAAAAATTTGGCAGGGGAGACAGAGATGAGTCAGCGCAGGTATGAAACATAACCATTAAAATAAATTAATACAAATCTAAGGCATATTAAAGGGATAGTTCACTCAAAAATGAAAGTTCTCTCATCATTTGCTCACCCTTCGCTTGTTTCAAACCTGTTTGACTTTTCTCCTGTTGAACACAGAAGAAGACATTGTGAGGAAAGCTGGAAATTTGTAAACACTGATCTCAATAGTATTTGTTTTTCATACTATAGGTGTCAATGCTTTCAGCTTTCTTCAGAATATCTTCTGTTGTGTTCATAAAGGTTTAAAACCACTTGAAGGCGAGTAAGTTTTCATTTTTGGGTGAACTATCCCTTTCAACACAAACTCTAATTGGGTTTTTATACATATGCTAATTCTCCTGACCTCGATTTTGTCATGAGCATAGCATGCAGCATGTCTTCTCTATGCTTAAATCGCTGATGTGCCTTGAATTTTTGAGACTAATTTGTTTGCCCATGGGTTGGCAATATTGGCCTAGTCATTGTTTTACTGTATGAAAAATCACAAATGAGACTGAGGCACTTTTAACACTAGTGTGTTTTTGATTTAGCAAAGGAAACTAAATTAGCATGTTAACTGAGTGGAGGTATGCTACAGTAAACTGCTATGATAATTGTTACATTGAAATAGCAAGCTATGTTTAAAAGAATATTGCAGTATTTTCTAGATAAAGAAACTACATTAGCATGGTAATTGAGTAGAGGTATGCTAAACTGCCAATAATTTTTAATGCTTAGCAATACATTAAAATACCATGCTAGGTTAAAAAACATATTGCCGTATTTTTCAGAAAAGGGAGCTAAATTAGCATGCTAACTGAGTAGAGGTATGTTAAACAGTCACAAGAAATATTAATGCCAAGTAGTATGTTGAAATGGCAGGTTAGGTTTAAAACCATATGGCAGTATTTAAAAAAAATGAAGATAAATTAGCATGCTAATTGAGTATACTCTAAACTACCACAACAGTTGTTAATGCTTAGCGATACATTAAAATGGAAGGCTAGTTTTATAACCATATTGCAGTGGTTTCTAGATAAGGGAGCTAAAAATTAGCATGCTAATTGAGTAAAGGTATGCTAATCTGCTACAAGAATTGTTAATGCTTTGCAATACATTAAAATGGAAGACTAGGTTTAAAACCATATTAAAGTATTTTCTAGAAAATGAATATAAACTGGCATGCTATTTGAGTATAAGCTAAATTACCACAGTTGTTAATGCTTAGCGATAGATTAAAATGGAATGCTAGTTTTAACCCTATTGCAGTATTTTCTAGATTAGGAAGCTAAATTAGCATTCTAATTGAGTAGAGGTATGCTAAGCTACCACAAGAATTGTTTATGCTTAAGCCTGGTTTATACTTTTGCGTCGAGTGATTGAGAAACCCACGGCGCATGGCTTGCACGTAGCTGTGCATTTATACTTTTGCATTTCTGTTGCTCTACAATAACACTTCTGAAACCCTAGTTGGCAGTGAGGTCTTTATATTCCTCTGTGTCGAGTTTCCTCTAAGGTAGCGTTCAGAGAAAACAAAACACCAACGTTTAAGTGGCTCAAACTCGCTCATTCAGAGGCAGTAACTGGCAGATGTGCAACAACTTTAATCGTAAGGTAAACATAAAACAACAGTCTCCATGTGGAGCTCCATCACGGGACTCCACACTTGTAAACACTCACTCCATCGGGCTCACGCGGCTATCACCTCTCCCCACACTCGTCAGTGATACCAAGCCGACCAATCAGAGTGCTTGCGCTACGCGACGTTGTGATGGGTAGTTAAATTTTTTGAGAGGTGCACGTGTGTGTCGTCGATGACCAAGGATGAAGGCTATGCGCCCATACTTCGGCTGCACTATAGCATATGTGTGCACTAGATGCAGAAATCAGCCTTTAGCGATACATTGAAATGGCAGGCTAGGTTTAAAACCATATTGCAGAAACCATATTGCAGTATTTTCTAGATAAGGAAGCTAAATTAGCATGCTAATTAAGTCACAATATGTTAAATTACTAGGCTAATTGTTTGACATTACATGGAAATATTAGGCTAATCATGTCTGTGGCTAATGTGTTTAGATTTAACTCGCATCAGGCAGCTAATATTTACATTTCCTCCAAATGATTTGATATTATGATCACAGAATTATGCAAATGTGCTGGTTTGGTGTCCACTTCTCATTATTCATTGTGTTTGTCTTTATAATATAGCACGTTTGAATTTTCACTTGTTTCTCAGATTTAATTATCATTCCACCATTTTTACATTTGTTCAGTTGTGTGCGGCTTCCCTGCATGAGAATATGTTTGTGTGTTTGTGAAGGGAAATCCCCATAGTGTGAGCGAGGCCTGTTCCTCTGAGGGCTTAGTAAGCAAGCAGCTGTTCTGTGAGAAAGAGCTGTATTTGGGTCACACAGGACACTTTTCTTCCCCATGATAAACACTTGATGACCTCTAATAGTCCCAGACAGTAGAAAGGAAGCATCATGGTTTACATCATGATGGGGTTTCTTTTCATGTAAACCATACCAATACCTTTTATAGAGGAACTTCAGTGAGGATCGTTTAAATAAATAAAGGGGAAAACATTTATTTGTTTTTTTATTTATATCTACTTTTTTGTATTTATTCTTTTTATTGATTTTTTTCATCTATGTATTTTTTTTATTTTTTTTATCTGTTATACTTATTTATTTCTCAACTTGTTTATTTTGTCTATTTATCTATTCTTTTATCTATGTATTTATTTTTTGTCTACTTGATTATTTATATATATATATATATATATATATATATATATAAAACATGTATGCATTTATTCTTTTATCTATTATTTATTAATTAATTTTTTATTTATTTAATTATTTATTTATTCTTATCTATTTATGTATTTATTCTTATCTATTTTTATTTATTTATTTTTAATTTATCTGCTTGTTTATTTATTAATTTATCTATCTGTTTGATAATGCATTTTAGAAAAAAAAACTTATTAATTTTATTATAATAATTATGAAATTATTTTATTTTTGTCTTTTATTTTAACATTACATTATTATTTAAATAATAATAATAATAATAATAATAGTAATAATACCTGTTAGGTATTATTTAATCTAATAGCTAAATTTCAACTTAAACTATAATAATAATAAGAATAATAATTGATCCATTTTTTTTTTAAACCAGAAAAGTTTTTTTTTTTTTCCCACTTATTTTTTTCATCATCATAGTCTGCATTCCTATAGCTTGTCAGTCATATCTTAAATCCTCATTATTTGTTGACTCATTTTTTTCTGTCCATCCATTATTCTCCTCATTATTTTCATCAATCACTTTTTCCAGTGCGGCACAAGGTGAAGTGGAGCGCAGATCTGTTGGTCATAGGAGAAGGTACCATCATCCATTTTTCCCTCTTTCCACTAACCCCATGGAAAATTTAGAAAAGCTGTCCCATAAAATCCCAATAAAAAAGTCGAACACTATTTTTCCAGTTTATTTCAGTTATTTATTTCAGTTTATTTTCAGTTATTTTATAGATAATAGTTTTTTTTAGTAATGACATTCATATACAACTAATATTATATTATGTTTCCTAATGTCAGTTTGTTTTAATTATATTTTTGTTAATTTTTATTTTAGTAAAATTAAAAGTTGTAGATTATTATCTTTTTTTTGTCTCTAAATATTTTTTTTTATTTAATTGCATTTTTATGATTATTTTTAGAATATTCAATTTCTTTGTCAGTTATGGAAAATTTGTAATTAATAGTTATTAGTTTTTTTCTTTATTAAGATAGCTGAAATATATTTACCAAACAAACACATTACAAGCTTGTGTGTGGGTTAAAGGCTTTTTTAACCAGGTCTTTATACTAACAAGATCCTCTGTTGTCTTTTTATTCATCAATCCATCCATCCATCCATCCTGTACATTCCATTTCTCTATGAAGCATGAGCTGGTGTCCTTCTGTTGTCCTGCGCTCTGAAAATGATGAAATGAATGAAAGAAGGTAAAGAAAGACAAATTGGATGCATCTTATACTAATCTTGTGTAATCAAACGGCATGAATTGCGTGATGGCAACTCAAACAGTGTGTTTTGTAAAACAGTGCTGTATAGACGTGTGTGTGTGTGTGTGTGTGTGTGTGTGTGTGTGTGTGTGAGAGAGAGAGAGAGAAAGAGGAGAGAGAGAGGTTGTAAGTGACTTCCTTTCTATGGTTTAGTCTTCTCGTCTCTCCGGACAAACATCTGAGACCACAAACACTGTTGCAGTCACTTCCGTTGATTTCATTGTCTAAAGCAGAGACGAACCGGCCACTTGAATTGAACCATGTTCAAATGTAGACTTAACTATAACATCAATAGCAGATTTGAACTAATATGAATTATGACTAACATTTTGATCTGGATCTCAGAACCTGGCGAGAGGTGAGATGTTTGTTTGTTTTTATTTTTGCAACGTCAACTTGTCAAAGTGTTTCCTGTCAGAACCAATTTCAGAGCACATTAAAGTAAAAACAAAAGCGTTAAATTGAACTAAACTGAAGTTTTTGTGTCTCTCTGCATCTGATAAAGTGTACAAGAGTGATTTTATGAACATTGAAAGAATATTAAATGCAAGTAATGTCGGATTTAATGTTGCAAAGAACTTTAGTGGAAGTTAAAATGAAAAAACGTGGGTGATATAATGTCACTTCTTCATTTAGCATAACAGATTTTATTTTTAAAAATGAAATATGTTTATTTTGACCTGAAATATTTAAAATATATATATATAATAAGTGATAAGTGATTAAGTATAAGTGATTATACTGATTTCTTCCTTAAAAATGTGTAAAACCTGTTTGGAAACAAATTATAAAGACTTAAAATAATTAATAATTAAATATGTCATAAAATAATTTTTGTGATTAAAAATGTCTCATGAGATGATATGTTTGGTATGTAAAAACTATTGTTGCATATACATTACCTGTCAAGTTTGGAATCAGTAAAATTTTTCAAAGGTTTTAAAAAGATCCAATTAAGCTCAACAAGGCTGCTTTTATTTGATCATTAATGTACAGTAAACACTGTTAAACTGTGAAATATTATTACAATTTTATATAAACGTTTTCTTATTAAATGTAGTTTTACATTTAATTAATTTTTGTGACAGCTCAGTTTTTATCATCGTTACTCCAGTCTTCTGTCACAGGATCTTTCAGTTATCATTATAATAGGATGACTTACTGTTCCATTATGATCAGTTGTTATTGGTACTCAATCAGTAATAATAATTCTTACTATAGACCCTTTTCACTTTTCCAGGTTTCTCAGTAGCAAAAGTTGTCATAGTTGGGAAAACTTATAGCAAAGTGAATGGGAAAATACAACAAATACAATCTTATTTGCTCAAATAATAATAGAAAAACTCTATGGTGATGTTATAAAGACTTTCAAAAAAAAAAAAAATTTGTGAGACAGCCAGAGGAGAGAATAACGTCTAATTTACTGTTCTATCCCATAGGCACTGCATTAGATCGAACGAGTAGTAATATTTTTTTTTGTAATTTGAAGCAAAGATGAAATAATACATATATAAATGCATATAAATGTTCATACGTTTATGAAAAAATCAAAATATTAAAAACTTTTCAGGATTTAAGATGCTGATGACCGTTAAACACGTCATAACAGGCTTGTGAACAAACCATATCATCAAAATCTTCCATTCATTCTAATCCGGGTTTTAGTCCATCAATAATTGATAAATCAGTTGCCTCCTGGCATACTAGAGGTGTTAAGGAAATTATATCATGAGGGAATTTTCTCTTCAGTTCAGCAGGTATGTGAAAAGTTTAATATTCCTAATAACAACTTTTTCCGTTATCTCCAAATTTGCAATTTTGTGTGTAAAATGTTCCCTCGTTTTCCGGCATCATCTCCTAGCTCCTCTTACTAGAGAGACCCACAATTTGGAAAGGGATTATATCATCACTCTACTATAAAATTATGGCACCAACTGATACATCCCACTTCTAAATAAAATCTGTGTGGGCGGATGATCTGGGTATTACAGTTTCAGATGAGGAATTCACAAGTCCTCTGTCTGTGCAAGACATGGACAACTGCAGTGCAAAATTGTGCATTGTGTACCCTGGACAAACCTAAAGCTCTCAAAGCACTTTCAGCATATTGATCCAGCCTGTAATCGCTGTAATTTCACCCCAGCCACTCATGCACATATGTTTTGGTCTTGTATAAAGCTTAATTACTTTTAGGATACTATTTTTAAAACTGTATCTGTTTTTTTGGGGTATATATTTCTCCCCTTGCCCACTAATTGCCGTTTTTGTAATTTTGCCTACGTCATATAAACTTACAAAAAATACAATCTGATTACATAGCTTTTATTGTGCTCCTGGCCAAATGACTAATATTGCTTAGGTGGAAGGATCAGAAACCTGCAACCCCAACACAGTGGATTAGACTGTCTAGAGCAAGGGTTTCCACACTCGGTCCTGGAGGGCCAGTGTCCTGGAGATTTTAGCTCCAACCCTAATCGAACACACCTGAACAAGCTAATCAAGCTCTTACTAGGTAAACTAGAAGATCTCCAGGCAGGTGTGTTGAAGAAAGTTGGAGCTAAAGTCAGCAGGACACCGGCCTTCCAGGACCGACTTTGGACACCCCTGGTATAGAAGTTCATATAACCAGTTAAAGAAAATTTGGTACCTATTTAGGAAATATATTTAAGAATATGTATTATTGTCAACTACAGACCAAGTCTTTGTTCCAGCAAGTTGATTTTTTTTCTTTCCTAAGTGCAAAGTAGAGTGTATTGTGTGATTGTACAATTGTAGTTTTTGTTAAGCCACGTTATTATTTACCTTTTTATCTGTAGGTATGTTTTTTGTTTAATTTTGTTTGCTTGTTTTTTTCTCATTGTATGTGGTTAAGTTAATACAATCTATACTTTTTGAAATATAATTTTGTTTTGTATTCTTTTTTTTTTTTTTTTTACTGTAATTTACCATAAAAGTCAGAAATTTAAAAAAAGTAAATAACAGGCTTGTGAAAAGGTTCCATTATCGGTGCTAAATTATTATTTTGTGTGCATCTTGCGTCATAGTAGCATAGAAACTGTCATACGTTTTACTTTTATGATTCTTTTTTAATCAAAAAGACAGTTATTAATAATTATTTATTTATTGATTATAAATGTATTTACTTTCACTCTTGAACAAAGTTTTGTTATGAATAAAAGTAAATACATGGTACTTTCAAAAGGTATTGTATAAGTTTCCCAAACTTACGACAATAATAATAATAATAATAATAATAATAATAATAATAATACTAATAATAATACTAATAATAATAATTATAATAATAATAATAAAATAATTATAATAAAAATAATTATAAATATTTTGAGTAATACATATTTTTTGTTTAGTTAAAGTACTAATGAATTTTCTTTAAAATGAAAAGAACAAAACAAAAAACAAAGGTGCTGTGTTTGCAGATAGTTAAGTTATCAGTGGAATAATCCAGTTTTTTCAATCACAATAAATCAAAACATTTCATTATTTTAACCTATTGTTGTTTTTTAGACTCGTTTAGACCACTATCAAACATTTTGTTTCACTTTTTAACATACAGAAAATGGCTAACCATTTCCACATCAGTGGTTGGTTGTGTTGTGTGAGTCAGTGATTGTCATTCGTCATGGTTTCCTTTCACAGTCTGAGGTCAATACTTTACCAGCATTATTTGCTAGTAAACTTACACATTTGTCCATTGCGTATCTGCATGTGTTTGAGTCTGCCAGTATTCTGCTTATGTTTATTCAGTGTGTGCATGTGGTCACCTTGTCGCCACAATGTTATGTAAGCGTTATCACTTATATACTGTATATGTATTTATGTCCACAGTTACAGTCTGGAAGGACTTGCACCAGAGAAGGAGGGAAGGAAAAGTCTGGTTCAGCAGCGTGTCGGAGAGTCCAGCCAGGAGCCCAAATGTCCATCAAAGGTGGAAAAAGAAGACAGAGGCTCGCTTGTGTCTCTGACTGAAGAAGAGCAGGAGTCAGATCTAGGCGACTGCAGCAGTTTGGGCAGTCAGGTAAAGTAGGATTGAGCCAGGGCTAAAAACTATTAGAAAACATTTATACTGTTAAATATAAAGGCTACATTGTTATTCTAATAACATTTTAATAACATAGTAAAATCTACCTTGTAATACAGATTAAATGCTCAAATTTGAACATAAATCTGTTTTAAATGGTTATAATTAGTTAATTAAATCTAATTTATTGACTGCATTCTAATATGTGGAAATAATCAAATGATGACGATTTGTTCCATGACAAACGGTTAATTGCAATTAATCACATCCAAGATACATTTTGTATTCACATAATAATACAGTGCTCTGCATATATGAGTACAAACCCACAAATCTCTCATTTAAATTAATATTTTCTATAGAAAGCTTTACATTATGTTTGTGCATGTACATTAGTTTGGTCAGTACTGAAGCCAAATCTGGAGCTTATCTAACAAAATAACTTACAATAATGGTTCAAAAATTAGTAACCCAAATATAAATGTTAGGGAAAAATATTTTTGCAATATTTTGCATGAATTTAAATGTATTATCTTTCCATTTCTAAAGATGTTCTGTGACTAAAATATTATTTTAAAACATATATCTGTTTAATAAATCTGTTTTGTTCAAATGCACCAATGTATATTACCCATATTCACTGAGAAATGGATAAAAATATTCATTTTCAAAATAGGGTGTACACATATGCTGAGCACTGTATGTGTACTGGGTATATATATTTGTAAAAATGCACACACACATGCTGTACATAAAACGCACAAAAAAGAAAAAGAAAAACAAGTGCATGTGTATATATAAACTTAAATTTGTATATACTTTGTTTTATATCAATACTTATATAGATTTAGAAATACATAAACAAATATTTTTTACAATATAAACGCATACAAAAATATACGCAGTAGACACAAATATATTATTTTTAAATATGAACTTTTACTTTAGATTAATCATTTGACAGCTCTAAAATATAGTCAAGCCATCAGTATAAATGTTTGTCAATACTGATTTTAATTTAAATATTTATATATATATATATATATATATATATATATATATATATATATATATATATATATATTTATATTTTTCTTTTTCTTTGATATAAATTTTTCATTATGATTTTAATATAAGTATTGACTATATAGTTACAGTTGAAGTCAGAATCATTAGCCCCCCTTTAATTTATTTTTTTCTTTTTTAAATATTAAATGTATTTTCTTCTGGAGAAATTCTTATTTGATTTATTTTGGCCAGAATAAAGGATTTTTTTTGTTTTTTTAAAAAAAAAATCTTTTAGGGACAAAATCTTCAGCCCCTTTAAGCTATTTATTATTATTGTTATTATTTTTTGATACAGAATAAACCATCGTTACAATAACTTGCCTAGTTACCCTAACCTGCCTAGTTAACCTAATTAACCTAGTTAAGCCTTAAAATGTAATTTTAAGCTGTATAGAAGTGTCTTTTGATAAATATCTAGTAAAATATTATTTACTTTCATCATGCCAAAGATAAAATAAATCAGTTATTAGAAATGAGTTATTAAAATTATTATGTTTAGAAATGTGTTGAAAAAAAACTTCTCTCCATTAAACAGAAATTAGGTGAAAAAACAAACAAACAGGGGGTCTAATAATTCAGGGGGGCTAATAATTCTGACTTCAACTGTACAGTATATTGACTATATATATATATATATATATATATATATATATATATATATATATATATATATATATATATATATATTATATACATAATATAAATTATTATTTTTAATGTTTTTTATATTTGTCTTTTTTTGGTGGTCAGACTTTCCTCTATTTCTAGTCTTTTTGCATTTTGAATCAAACTCAAAACAATGATTTTTAGTTTCTTTTAAAATCTAAAGAGCACACACACAGACACTACAGCTGGAATGATAAGTTAATTATTTAAAGACACACATCCTCTCTGCTTCTCTTTCTCTTCACTCTCACATTTATCGATAAAAAACTGCCACTTGTTCAAGTTCTAACACACAGATTTCAATTATAAGCTGCCTTTGTAGTTTTTTGAAATTGAATGTTGTAGATTGAAATCTATTGCATTTTATTACCCCATTTTAATGATTTGTCTTGTTTGCCGCTTTCAGAAGTCCATCCAGTCGGGTCGGAGATGTGTCCCACATTCACAACCCATCCTCACCAAATCTGTGTCCATGGTGGCCATCAGTCAGAAGGACCTGGACGGTGAGTTGAAATCATCTTCTCTGTTTTTCTGTCCTCCGTCTTGTTGTGTCTCTCTGAGCTCTGCAGCACTCAAATATTGAGCATTTTAATAAGCCTCAATAAGACTTTTCTGGATGTTGCAGATTTTCAGACAGTTTCTTTTCTCTGCTGGTCTCTTTGTGGTGTAATAATAATAATAACATTTGGTTGTAAATGACCACACATTGACCACTCACTTCCTTGTCAGTCATATCTGACACCCAATTTTGTGTCCTGGGATTTTTATGCTACAAATAATACCTTGTATGGACTGGGACTATTGGTATTCTTCAGATGTGGACTCCCGTGGTTCCTTTTTCACTGTGGTGTCACATTAACGGGAGGTGGACGTTTATTAATATATTGGCATCCATTTTTTTTTTACCATTCGTCTTTTTTGTGACCAGCAATGGGACGGCTGCGACCCAAGCGACGAATCTCCTTCTCCTTCAGCATCTCGCCGATGCTCCCCAAATCTAAAACTCTCTTTTCTCTTGGCTCTTCATCCAGTGATGAGGAGGAGGCAGTCAGTAAGTAAAAAGATATCCCACAATGCCTAGCATGGCCCCCTCCCTGCCCAACCCCCTGCCTAATATGAAGTGTGTGTCCCTACAATCCCTCTTGACACTTTTTTAACGAACTGGCCTATTTCCAAATTTTTATTTTATTTCATTTTATTTTGTATTTTGTTTTGTATTTTATTTTGGATTATTTAATTAAAATTTTATTAAAATGTTTTTATTTTATTTAATATTTTATTTTATTTATTTGTTTATTAGTTAGTTTGTTTATTTAATGTTTTGTGCTGTTTTTTATTTTTTGTTTTGTGTTTTTTGTTTTTTTTGCTGTATTTTTTTGTGTGTTTTTCATTTTTTGTTTAGTTTTCGTTTGGTTTTGTTTTTAATTTTTTTGTTTTGTTTTAATACTTCAATTATATTGTGTTGTTGAGGGCATCATTTTAATGACCGGGTTTAGAATAGCATATATATTTTAAAAGGTTATTATAATAATTCACTGATAGTTAATTATTAAATTAATACTGGCTAACTGAAGTGCCAAAATAATTTAGAAATTGCCTATAGAGTTAATTCATAATTATTTGTGTGTTATGCATGTTGTCTACTGATGCATTCATTATTTGTCTGATCATTTTTTTAAAGTGTTAGTTCACCCAATCATGAAAATGTTGTTATTAGCTCTCATGTTGTTCCAAGTGCTTGTTACCTTTTTCTTAGGTTCAAGACTTTTAGGGTCCAGAAATGTGTCCAAAACGTTCTCAAAACAGTCAATGTGCATTTAAAATATCTTAATTTGTGTTCTAAAGATAAAGAAAGGCCTCAGGAGTTTGGAGAATTTAATTTTAATAAATTTTTGGGTGAACTATCCCTTCAAGACAATCTTGCTAATGATGTTAAAAGGCTATATGTATATTGTTTATGTATGAATCACTTTTTATTGACAGTGTAAGATCATTCTGTCATGAATCTGTATAAATAAGGCATTAAATCACACTTGTGACTGCAGTTCACTTAACGGCCACCGGTGTTGCTAATAGCAAGCTTTCCTTTTTAAGCAGGTTTAGTTGTTTGTTTATAACTAGCACCCTGAATCAAAATCAACTTAGTATATTGGCACATTTGTGTGAGTGGTATAGCTTGAATAATATTGATAATGGAGCAACATACAGTGCAACATTATTGCACGTGCAATGTATTCACCTAGAATCATTTTTTTCTTTTGTGGATTGTTGGATGGATTTCTCAGAAAGTGGGTTTCCAGTATAAGACATTAGCGTGTCTGTATAGTGTGTTTCCATTAGATCTGTCTCTCCTTGTCTTTCAAAGTCCTCATAATCACCTTTTTAGAACTACTTTTATATTTCACGTTAGCAGGTAAAATAAATAATAATAATGTAATAAACATTTTTTGAGTTAATAATATATATATCTACTTACATGATTGGTTACATCATGCCATTTTTATATGAAATGTTTTGGTATTGAAGTGTGTTCTGTTTTTTGTGTGTTGATACTTTTTAAAAAAACTTTTTATTTATTTATTGTGAATATAGCCAAGCCAAATTCATCTCTCACAAGTATAATAAACAGTTTGTAGTACAAACAGTACAATAGTTTCCTAAACAAGTCAAAAACAATACAAGCGTTTCTGCACTCCTTACAAAATATTAGTCATTTTTCCTTTCATAGTTAATTGTTTGTGATTTGCAGAACAATGCTTGTTTTTTTTTCCTCTAAGCCTTTTACAAATGTGGTATTTTGTGTGCATTATTTGTTCTCTATTGACAGCATAAACTGCTTGATTACACAATTCTATTGTACAAAACTCCAGTGGCTCCCTGAAAAGTGGTTAATAATACGAGTTGTTGTTTTATGGTCTCATTGGTGATTTAGTTAGCGGTTGTCTGGTTTTCATTTTGAATAATCAGTCATTTTCTCTCATTTCAGGATTGAGTTCATTCACTGGAACATCAGGATCATTAGAGTACAGGTATGACCCCTGCTTCACATTCTGATTGGCTGCATGCTAACATGTTAATGTCAAGTTTTAATAGTTTAGAATTTAAATATGCATTTTTTTAATATATAATTTGTTAGCATGTTTACTATTATATCGATTTAGACAGTGGAGAAGAACTAAGAAATGTTGAGTGTCCGATTAAACTCTGTGTGTACTGTATCATACCAAATTAATATTTAAGTGAATGTATCCAAGTTTCAAATAGTTGCTTTTATCTTCTTATTTGTCTGATTCAGTATATCAGAGGAGGATCCTGGGCCATTACGGAGTGACAGTGAAGGCAAAATTGGAGGAACCAAAGTGAGCAGGACATTCAGTTACCTCAAGAGCAAGATGAGCAAGAAGAACAAGGTTGGTTTTTGATATTATAATGACCTGTTTACCCTATGCTCTCTGTAAGGTATCCCTTACTAGTACTTAAGTCTGTGTGTGATTGATTTAACACAGTGCTCTTAAACATTTGGGTTGCACTACTACTACTGACTGAATCATTGGTGCAGTTGATTCTGACTCTAGCAGCCAAAATCGGAGCCTTAATCTAGACACGATCAGACCAGACAACCTTTCAAACATATAATCATACATAGTCCTCTTTTATTCCCCGGATTGTCTTGTATTTTACAGTTTTATTCCGCTAGCATCCTGTTAAAACATATTTCTGTATATTTGAATCTTTCTATAAAAAATCTTGTTGTTTTAATTGACATTTTGGTTGAATTCAGCATGTGGCAGAATACAAAATATTAGCTAAAATCTACGCACAGTTGATCCTACCTATACACACCTATACAATAATACCTGCAAACTAACTTTGCTATCTAATGTGAGTCAAACCCTTTTCGTTTAAAGCCATGTGCTGTTGCCCTTCCTATGATTCGAGGACATTTTGATATTTGTATGTATGTTTAAACTAAAAAAAATGTCCATCTTGCATCGTTTTATTTTAAACACGCTAATTGGGTTTTAAATTAACGTGTAAACAGTTTGGAAAGTACATGAATGCTAGTCATTATAGATCTGTGCATTAGCTCTTAAAGGGTCATGAAACACCAAAACACATTTTTTGAGCTGTTGACAGTCATAAATGTGTCCCATGCTGCTAAAAACACTATTAGGACTCGTATATTTCACTAAAAAGTGAAAATTGTTTGTTTTTGCGTTATTTCAAGCAAATTCGTACTTCCGGTTTGAAACAAATTTTTGAAGCTGTGTCACGGACATGAGATCTTAGCGTGCATTCCAGCATGTAGACTACATGTCTGTACCTGGGAGTGCCTCATTACGTCTCTGAGTGTGCTGCATTAATGCATGAGTAAGACTTGGTTCAAACCAATCAGCAAACTCTATTGTGCAATTTTATTAATATGCAGGATAGCCTCCAAGACTTTTTATATGACTTTTCCAAGAGTTTTTATATGTTACACTGTTCAGACGGCAGAGAAACGCTGCATTGTGTTGCCAAAACAAGCGTGCAGTGTTGCTTTTATAACTTGCTGCAGTGAAGGTTTTGTTTTCATTTTCCCTCAATGAGAGCGCAGCAGGACTCGTGTGTGGATTACAGTGCACGCGGCGCTCGACAACAATACGTGTCTAAGGAACTTTTTTTTTCCCGCAAGCTTTTCTTGTGGGTAAAATGTAATAAATGCGGAAATGCGGATTTGCTGCTTTTCTCCTCTTAATAAGGACGTGGCTCTAGTTGGTGTTGATTGTCCTGTCTCTACAGATTTGGTAAATAAGCGACCAGTGGTCTTTGTTTGTTTATTCAGATGGCAAAGTTAGTTTGTATCAAACCAACTATTACACCGAGTGTTTACATGTTACACCACAATCAATCTTACCGTCATGGAGGATTTTCAACGCATTTTGTGACAGGAATAACACACACGGCTTTCTGATGCTACCTGTCGAGTGCATCTAAGTTTTCATTAAGTTTTTCTCTCATTCGCCGTGCGGTAACAAACATTGCATGAAAAATGCATGCTTAGAGCTGTTCCTCGAATCAAATATCTCGTTTGTCAAGAGGGGCATGAATGAAATTCCTGAATGAAAGAGCCAAACTGCAGTTAAAGTCCACCATTTAATAATTTGTCAAATAATTCGATTACCGATGTTCATGTAAACGCAGTCACTGTCTTTCTCCCCTGTCTGTGCTTGTGCGTCTGTGTATTTTGCCTCTGTGAAAATCAGCGCATGACCAAACCGACACTCCCATTTTTATGCGAATTTTCACAGACCCTCCCTCTTTTGCTCCTCCAACACTCCCTCCTAAACAGAGCTGGACAGGCCCACTTTCCTGACTTTTTCCAAAGTAGAGGTGTGAAAAAACCCTGCTGAAACAAGGGCGTTTCAAGGCCCTTTAAAGTGACACGCCTGTTATTTAATGTAAATCAATTAACAAACGAAAATGAGGGATTCGTTCAACTCCCAATGTTGACCGGTTTGCTTATAATGTTAAATTTTGGTGAGCCTGTGCAAATGTGTTTAGCATCATGATTTGCATCCGTGTTGTCATCTGATGCTGTAGCTCATCTGATTCAAGGTTGTATGTTCTAAGATGCTCTTCTGTAGAGCTCGGGTTGTAACAATTGGTAATTTTTTGTTATCAATTGTTTATTGTTGCACTTCCATCAGCTTAAACTAGTCATTGTACTCAAATTTTATATTTGTTCTCTTTTCCAGACCATATTCTGTAAATCTAGAGATGGTCGTATGTGAACATCTTCAAATATCATCAGTTTCTGATATACTTTAACCCCCCTCATTTGATACCAGCAACTTTAGAAGTCACTTAAATCACCTTTTTTCCTCCATTCTAATGCTTAGTTTGACATCTTCATGCTTGAATGCATTGAGTTGCTGCCATGTGATTGGCTGTTTAGATGTGTGTATTAACTACCAGTAAAAGATGTGTGTTTTTGTAACAACATTTGTTTTAGCGACAAAATTGTTCCCATGATTCATCTGTAGACAAAGTAATTTTCTTTCAATCAAAAACCAATGCATTTCCTGCATGTGGTCCTATCAGATTGTATTAGTGGAAACGAATGCCATCGTTCTATTTTGACTGATCTAATATCTTTGCCATTTAACTTTTGTGGTTTTCTCCCCGTAGTTCCTGTAGATGATGAAACCAGGTCGATGATTATGTGAAAGCTCTCAGCAACTATTAAATGTTGCATGGCTTTTTTGTGCACAGACTTTGTCGTACAAGAGCTCACATTAGGGAAGTTCAACAGGATGTAGAAGCAAACTGTGGTCTTTGTTTAAATACACTCTTTCACAGAGGCTTGCGCTTGCAGTTTTCGAGCTCCTGTATTTCTGTGAAAACAAATGCATGGAAATGTATGAGATCACAGTTTCGAAGAACCTTCATGACATGTTTTAAATGTTCTAATGAACCAGCTGGGCCACTAAATATAGTAAATAAAACTTTATGAATTCAGAAACTTTTTTTTGGACGTAAGAAAAACAATTTTTATATATTTTTGTACATTTAGTATCTAGGCATTTTAAAAATATTCAGATCTTAAGTGTCAAAAGAAATATCCATCTTTATAGAATCTACTAAACAATACCATACAACCAAACAAGCTTCCAGTAGGGAGGGTCTAAGTAAAAGGAAGTGAACTGTGTCTGTAAGCTGAGGCCAAATGTGAAAGACGACAGAAAGAAACTTTTTTCAGTCTCTAAGCTTACCAAGTCACTTCCTCTGGCTGGCTTGCCTGCTATCTGTCATGGGAACTGGTGTGTTTGTGTAGGTAGACCAACAGACACATAACCTCGTCTACAGAACATTAGGCCCAGTGCATGCTCACTGGCTACCTACATCTGGGATGTCTACGTTGTGTCGTAGGTTTTTACCGCAGGGTCGGTCACTGAAGATCAAGAATACTGTTGGTGTGGTTGAGGTAGGACTGTAAGACCAAATGTTGTTACAGTTGTTTTATGTCACGTGCATTGATATATGTGGGGGGAAAATAGGTGTTTGAATGTTTGTAGTTCATAGTTCATTTTTAGGAGTTATGAAATATGCTTTTTGGGACTTTGATGATTTTTTTTTGCGCTTCCCCATGTTTTTTGTTTCACCACATTTAAGAATTGCATGAGTCAGTCCTGTGGTTCAAATTGCATATTTACTCTTGGCCTCAATGTTTATATTTTTGGGCATTTAAATGATTTGAGAGGTGCACTTTGACCATCTTCTTTCCTGCGCGTTTTGTAGCCAAATAATGTTCTCTAATTTTATGGTTTTAAGGCGTATATCACACTGAATCATTTTAGAAAAGGAAGATGCTGGATACTAAGAATTAACTAACCTTCCTTTACACGCGATAACATTGGTATATGATGGTTTGCTGTGGTAGCCGATCAGACAGGATTTTGTTATCAGGGTGGACTGCAGAAATGGCAACAGTCAGTGGTTTTTTTATTTATGGTGCCACTGTAGATTTATTTTAATCATGCCCGACACAGTAATGAAGTGAGGATGTTGTGGGTTTGAGACTTCATGCAATTTGTCAAAAAACAAGAACTACGGATTGATAAATGAATAGGAACATAGATTAATGGGTATATGCAAATTGGGATTGATTGGATGGATGGATAAATGAATATGAGTATAGATTAATTGAATGGATATATGCAAATTGGGATGGATGGATGGATGGATGGAATGATAAATGAATATGAAAATAGATAAATAGGTTTATGAAAATTGGGATTGATTGATTGATTGATTGATTGATTGGATGGATGGATAAATTAATAGGAAAGTACATGAATGGCTATATGCAAATTGGGATTGACTGGATAAATGGAAGAGTAAATAAATAGAAAAATAGATTAATGGATTTATGCAAACTGGAAGGATGGATGGATGGATGGATGGATGATAAATGAATAGGTAAATAGATGGATATGTATATATGCAAATTTGGATTAATTGGATGAATGGATGGATTTATGGATGGATGCATAATTAGTAAAATAGATGAATGGGTATGCAAATTGGGATTGATTGTTTGATTGGATGGATGGATGGATGGGTGGATGGATAAATGAATAGAAACATAGATTAATGGTATATGCAAATTGGTGTTGATTGGATGAATGGATTGATGAATGGATGAAAAATTGAATAGGAAAACAGATGAATGGGTATGCAAATTGGGATGGATGGATGGATCTTTGGAGAAATTAATAGTAAAATAGATGAATGGCATGGAAATTAGGATTGGTTGGATGGATGGATGGATGGATGTATAAATGTATAGGAAAATAGATGAATGGGTATGGAAATTGAGATTGATTGAATGGATGGATGGATGGATGGATGGATGAATGGATAGATTGATAAATAGATGGATAAATGAATATGAAAGTAGATGAATGCCAATTGGGATTGATTGGATGACTAGATGGATAGAAGTTAAAAACGGCAGGTAAATGGGTGATTTAGTGGATGGATGGATGGATGGATGGATGGACAGATGGGAAGGTTGATAGATTAGTGGGTATAGACATAGTGGTAAGCAGCATTTTGTAATCTGGGTTGTTAGTGGAAATTAACACAGATAGTCTTTTTTGTGTGTTCTTCCACTCTAGATATGTTTTTATCAAGCTTGTAAAGAAATAGAGGAAGCTTTTTTTTTTTTGGTTTTGACACTTGATGCAATGGATGTGTAGGTGGATGGATGGGTAAGTAAGTGGGTGGATGGGTTGAGATATAGATTTAATGATGAGTTTTGTTTGTCTGTGTAAATGGAAGAAAGAGTATTAAATGGATGGATGGATTAATCAAGGGGTGATGTAGTATGTGGATGGATGGATTAATGGGAGGTTGGAAGGGTTAATCAATAAATTGAGTGTTGAGAACCTGCAAATATTGAGCATGGAATAGTGGGTTTGATTAATTGATTGATTGGTTGACTGGTAAATGGGTGGATGGTGTATTGTTGGATAGACTGATGTACTGATGGATAAATGTATGGATTGGTGGATAAATGGATGGATGGGTGGATAGATGGACAGATGGATTTGTAGACGAATGGATGGATTGGTAGATGGAATTATGCATGGAACGGAGGATGAATGGATGGATGGATGGATGGATGGAATGGATTTGATTGATGCATTGTTAATTGATGAGTGGGTGGATGTATGTATTGTTGGATATATGGATGTATTAGTGGATGTATGTATGGATTGGCAGATGGATGGTGGAATGGTCGATGGATGGATGGACTTGCTGATGGATGGATGGATGGATTTGTAGATGAATGGATGGATTAGTAGATAATTTGATGAAAGGATTTGGTAGATTGATGGGTAAATAAATTGGTGGATGGATGAATTGATAGATTGAATGGTAGATGGATGGATTTGTAGATGGATGGATCAATTTGTTAAGAAATTAATGAAATTAATGGATGGATTGGTGTATGGAGAGAGAGAATGGGTTGAAAAGCATGGATGCACTGCAAAAAATGCTTTTCTTGCTTAGATTTTGTCTTATTTCTAGTCTAAATATCTAAAATTTCTTATATCAAGAAGCATTTTCTAGACAAGCAAAACATATTGTCTTGTTTTGAGTAATAAAATGCAATATTAAGTGAGTTTTTCCTTGAAACAAGCAAAATAATCTTTATTTATCTTTTATCTTTATTTTGCTTACCCCATTGGCAAATTATTTTGCTTGTTTTACGGAAAAACTCACTTAATATTGGCATATTACTTCTCAAAACAAGACAGTATGTTTTGCTTGTCTAGCAAATTCTTCTTGATTTAGGAATTGCATTTTTTGCAGTGTGTGTAGATAGACTAATGGGTAGAGACGTGGATTGACAGATTTAGTAGGTTGAGTTTCAGTACCTACATGGGTAGATGTTTAGAGGAGTGTGTAGGTGGATAGATGGAGGGAATGGGGGCTAAATGTGTTGATAGATGGCTGATAGGTGGGTGGGTCGACAGTCTAGATTACACTGGGATAGATAAATGTGCAAGAAATGTTAAGACTGTATGGAAGTTTGTTCATTCCTGCAGCTGCAGCTAGAGATGAATGATGATTATGAATGAAAGTATTGATTATGGAGCTGATGATCCTGTCAGATGGATGCATCAGTGTCTGCTAACCCTGTGGTTTTTCTGATAAATGTGCTCTGCTCTTATTTAATCTCACATCTGGTCCGAAACTCACTGTAACTGAGAGTGCGCAGCTCTGACTGTACATCACACATTAACTGCATTTTATTCAATTTTATGTGTTGTGTTCAGCAGGAGAAGGAGAAAGAGAAGAATAAGGAGCGTGAGCGAGATGCCAAAGACAAGGAGAGAAGAGCCTCAAACGGACATCTCTTCACTACGGTCATGACTGTACCCACAATCCCCTGCCACCAGTGCAACAAACTCATCAACACTAAAGACTCTATCCTCTGCACCAGTAAGAATACATCTATCTATCTATCTATCTATCTATCTATCTATCTATCTATCTATCTATCTATCTATCTATCTATCTATCTATCTATCTGTCTGTCTGTCTGTCTGTCTGTCTGTCTGTCTGTCTGTCTGTCTGTCCGCCCGTCCGTCCGTCCGTCCGTCCGTTCATTCATTCATCCATCCATATCTATCTATCTATCTATTGTTCTATCAATCTTTCTGTCGTTCTATCTATCTTTTTATCTATCTGTCTGTCCATCCATCCATCCATCCATCCATCCATCCATCCATCAATCCATCCATTGTTCTATCGATCTTTCTGTCGTTCTATCTATCTTTTTATCTATCTGTCTGTCTGACTGTCCGTCCGTCCGGCTGTCCGTCTATCTATCTATTTATCTATCTATCTATCTATCTATCTATCTATCTATCTATCTATCTATCTATCTATCTATCTATCTATCTATCTATCTATCTATCTATCTATCTATCTATCTATCTATCTATCTATCTATCTATCTATCTTTCTGTCGATCTTTCTGTTGTTCTATCTATCTTTTTATCTATCTGTCTGTCTGTCCGTCCGTCCGTCCGTCCATCTATCGATCTGTCGTTCTATCGGTCTGACTGTCTGTCTATTTATCTGTCTGTCTGTTCTAATTCCACATTCTACACTGTAAGTAATAACTTTATTCCACACTTTGTCAAATTTCTCTTTCATGTATTACAATTTCTGATTAATATCCTGTACATCTATTTTACACTGTATTCTATATATGCTAACATTGGCAAACAAGTCTTCCTGGTGTGTACAAAAACCCCACACTATTTAATGAAAACAAAACCTTGAATAGACAGAAAAATACTCATCAAAAAAATACTTCTGATGTAACTCACTTGTAAAAAGAGGAAACGTATCATTGGAAACACCAATACCCAACCTAACGTACTAGCAGATACATCTAAATAAATCAGATATTTATTTCAATTGCTACAAGGTGTGTTTTGGTCAAATTAAATGCATGTCAATCCAAACAAACAAAATAAATATTCTGCTTTGCTCTAATGCATGTGTTCATTCCACTCTCTTTGGTTTTGCCATAGGCTGTTGTCTTTTTTTGGCACTTCCTCCTTTACTGTCATTTGCGCTGCAGTTGTGTGCTTCTGCAAAGGAAACGCTTTCTCGGTGGTAAACTCTAAAGCTTGCAATCGCTGGAGATTCACACAGGAAATGGGTTGAAAACATTTTATTCCACAAAGAAAAAGCTTACAGATTGTCTACATGAACACAAATGCAATTGATTTAAACTGTAAAAGATGGCCTTGTTAAGTTAATTTGTGATTTTAACCCATGTTAGAGAGCTTGTGTGTGACATGCGTAGAGAATTGGGATGATGTGCGTCTCAGTATGTGAGCAGAGCTTCAAAGAAGTGAAGAAATAAATAATGAAGGAGCAAGTATGGTGGCCATCTGCCCAGTCAGGCCTTGCACAGTGTTGCATCACTCTGTCGCTCCACCCGCACACAGCTGGTGAGGCTCAGCACTGAACTGAGAGCAGTCGCTGCGCTGCTGCCGCCATCGCTCTCTCTCTCTCTCTCTCTCTGTTTATTGTTCTCAGAGGATGTGCTGGCAGACTCATTACCGTTTCCTCTCATTTCCCAAAAGCGACTGACACTCGAAACGCTTTCTGCCATTTGATTAGATCTTGTGAAAAGTTTTTGTATTAGAAATGATTTATTTAACTACTTTAACCCTTGTTTGCTGTTCAAATTTACTATCCTTTTTGTTATGTCGGGTGCTGTTTTTGCCCCATTGACTCCCTTTATAATGATTTTTTTTTGATCGCAAAGATTGACACCATACAATCATGCAATCTTGATTGTTGCTGATTTTCCCTGTTGGGAAGAGGTTAAATGTGTCAATTTTACTGTTGATCATCGGTTGGCAGCATTAATCTTTTAGATAGGCCTGTTTAAAAATGTTTTTGGCATTTATATGGAGTTCTGTGGAGTGAAACAATGCGCATAAGTACTCTTCAGGGCTGCACAATATATTGTTTCACCATCGATATAGCAATGTGTGCATCCGCAACAGTCACATCGCACAGATATGCTATGTTAACTCTGGATTATAGTTGACCTCGAGCTACAGAATTGTGTTTAATCAATTTATTTATACGATTTATGAACCAGCAAAAAAGTTTCTTACTTAGAATTTTTGTGTTTGTTTCCAGTCCAAATATCTACATTTTAAAGCAAAAAAACAAGATTATTTAACTTATTATTACACTCTTAGTTTTGCCTTATTTCATCTGAATTTTAAAACTAAACAATATTTTTACTTGAATTTGAAGTTGTTGTTTTTTTTAAAATAGATATTTGGACTAAAAATGAGAGAATTATTTCATTTCTGTAAGAAACTGCATTTACATCAGAATATTTATTGCAGAAAAATAAAAATATCATAATGTCAAATTTCTCCAATATCATGCAGCCCTAGTACACTTACTATGTTTACAATGTTCTAAGAGCTGAGATGCTTGTTTAGATTTTCTCAGATATATCAAGATAAGTGCGCAAAGGTCTTTCTCTCTCTCTTACACACATATACATACACTTCACCTTACTCTCCGCGTAGACGCGGGCGCAGCCGATTGAATTTTTTTGGCTCAAGACTTCTGGTCTCATTCACTTCCATTCATTTTTAGACATTAAAAACAGCTCGTTTTGTTGCTTGATGTTGCAAACTGTTGTTATTATATTATTCTGTTTTGTCTGTATAGTCATGCAAACACTTGTTTGTAGAGCAGGTAGTTTGACCATTTTTGCCGTTTATTATTCCAAGTAATTTCTCCCATAGGCAACTGAATCAGAAGTTCTAAAACATACGCAAAAACGAGCAAACTTCCGCACTGCAGAATAAAGTCAATACTCTGTATAAAGGCAGAAACCAAGCTTTTAGTTACACTGCAATTGGTGATTAACAGTAAAAATAAAATAAAAGATGACCTCTTTTCAAACCAGCAATTAATAATGCGTGATTGTATCGTAATATAATATGATTATAAAACTGTCATTATAATGGAAGTCAAAGGGGTCAAGATGGCCACCAACATAATGAAAACGTAGTTAGTTTCCATGTGTATTGTTGAATTTTTTAAAGTTGGCAAAGCATTTTATCAAAATGTGTCAAAATAAATAGAATTGTCATCAAAAGTTTATTTCATTTACTGAAACACAGAGAAAGTTGTGGCCAAATTAAGACGCAAATGCTCCGTTTTCCCCCACAGTCCAAAGACACGTGCTATAGGTGAATTGAATGAAACTAACTTGGCTATAGTGTATGTGAGTGAATGAGTGTGTATGGATGTACTGGGTTTCAGCCGGTAGGGCATCCGCTGTGTAAAACATATGCTGGATAAGTTAGCGGTTCATTCTGCTGTGGCAACCCCTGATAAATAAGCCGTAGGAAAATGAATAAATGTGTGTTTTTTTTATGAATTAGCGAAACTAAGTAGTTCAAAAAAATTGGTCGCCTGAAAATAAATTTGCTAATAATGTCATCAGGCCATGTAGGCAGGTGAAAAAACATAGGCCCAGCCTTTAGTAACGAAAATGAAAAATACACAGCAATTACAAAACAAAATATCATAAAACACTTATGATGATAATCTCTTTGTAGAAAGAAATGATGACGTTCAAATTGATGTCAGCAACTTAATATGGATAAAGTAAATGCGTTTAAAATCTGATGATGTCATCCAGGCAGGGTAGGCGGGTTTAAAAATGCCCTGCTGCCCATTAACATTTCCATCTTAATAGAGCAGTATTGGTTTGAAATAAGGTTGTTGAAAGAACAAGGTCTTGATTGTCAATGTTTTTGATGTAATTCATCCTCACCAGATAAAAGTATTCATAAGATAACATTAAAAGAAGAAATGCTCACTTTCCTTCAATGTGTGGGCTTTTCTGGAGAAATGATGTGGGAGTTGTAACTTGAGGTTAACGGATCTTAACCTTTAAGCCATCTACAGTAAGTTGTTGTCAACTCTCTATAACTATCACATGATCAGAGATTGTAGCAGTGTGGTTTTGTTTTTAAAAGCTTATAAATCTCCTTTGGGTGTGTCTAAATCTGCTGCAGTTTTGTGGTCTCAAAGTACACGCTGACAGAGAAAAGCAAACGAACCATCCGTGCAGGTACCTTTTGAAAGCGAATTAGCATTTTTTTTTGTTAGCATAGCGTTGAATAGGCTGTTCATGTTTATATACTGTGTTGATTTTTGAATGCACATCACTATTATTGTTAGCTTTCCCAGAGAAAATATGTAAACATTAGCTTAGCGTAGCATTTTTAAATGATCAGCTGTGACTCAACCGAAGTGTTTGTGACTAAATTCTGTGGTAAGCATCAGCTGGCAAAGGTGGAGTCGCACAGGAAAATGATCATTTTACGCTCTCCACGAAAGAGGAAGGCAGGAAATGGCTCAGTCTTGGTGTTTTTTTCCAGATGTCTCTCCTGTTTAATGCTGTTTTGCAGGGATTATTCCATCTGCAAACAAGTTCTGCTAAAATGATGGTTTGTGGCTTGTGGATTCACTGCTGATTGAGTTTTGTGTTTGTTTGCCTTCAGATTGCAATGCACAAGTCCACAAAGGCTGCAAAGAGAGTCTTCCTGTCTGCGCTAAAGTCAAGATGAAGGTAATTCACGGTCTCGCTTCTCATATGACTGTCATAAATGGGACTTTTGTGGCGTATGCTAATTATTGTTTTGACCAAAAATAAGGATTTAAAGGACATTTTACCTCAAAAGTATTGCACAGAATGACAGAATTCGATTAGTATTTCAAAATGTTTGTGTAATTAAAAAAATAATAATTTAAGACAATACATTGCCGACAAAAACACAATTTTTTTTTATCTACCTCTCGATTTTGGGTTTATGGATTTACATAATGTTTCCTAATATTTATTTGTCTCCCGTTGTCTATTTGTCTCACTCCCATCGATTTGTGTCTGTATATTTCAATCAGAATACATAAATGTAAAGGCTTTTTTCCTCAAAATAATATATCTGAACCATAAATCTACAATTCAGCAGGGCTTACATTTATTCAAATCTATATTTATTTAAGTCTACAGGTATATTTACATATTTACAGAGGGATTTGCTCATAGTATAATTTCGTTAATTATTTATTTTATGCAATAAAGTTGACTTCAATAAAAATAAAAATTGATTTCTTCCAGTGCTCAGATTATTATGCTAGAAATGTATGCAAATTAGCGTATATTTAAAGGGCCATGAAATCCCTCCTGTCTCAGCAGGTTGTTTTCACACCTTTAGTTTGGAAAGTTATTTAACCCTTGTAAAGTCAGAGAAGTGGGTTTGTCCAGCTTTGTTTAGGTGGGCGTGTCGAGTGGCAAAAGAGGGAAGGGTTTGCATGAAAAGGGGAGTTTTATTATGTGCACTACAGCTGATTTTCACAGTGGCAACACAAACTGACAGTGATTCTGGAGTTCGGATTTAGTCATTTTGACTAAGGTATGTCTATAAAAACTGAAAAAATACTGCTGACAATACTAATTACCTTTGCCATCTGAATAAACATAAACAAAGAACATTGAATACAAACTTTCCAAATTGGAACCAAGTCATTTTTCAAAAGACAAGTGGCAAATCCGGATTTCACCATTTGCAGATTTGAAAAGACATACAAACATATTTTTGTCACGTGTTAGCAAACCACTGTAATCCAACTGCTTGTGTCCACATGCAAGCTCTGCTCAAATTGCGGGAAAAAATCTAAACAAAACCTTCATTGTGGCACATTTAAAAATGCAACACTGACGACCCATGTCTCTGAACAATTCTACTACTACTACTTGTTTAAATATTCTGTAAACACTGTAACAGGTAAAAGGAAAGCTATATTATGCATATATACTTCAAAGCTATATTATGCATATTAATAAAGTTGCATCTTGTTCACAATAGAGTGTGCTGAATGGTTCGAACCAAGTCTTTCTCTTGAATTAATAAACAGATGTGCTGAAAACTACCAATATTCACTTGTTGGCTAAATATATGTGTCCTAATAGTGTTTTTTAGCAACGTGGGACAACTGTCAACATCTTAAATGTGTTTTGGTGTTTCATGACCCTTTAATTAAACATTGCCTTATTTCCCACATTGCAAAACTTGTAATTCAAAAAGCAGTTCCTAATGAATCCAATCACTTGAGGGAAGTATGGTGGGTCAGTATTATATTTTTTTACCCATAATCCCATTTCAAATATTTCTTTCAGCAGCAAAAACAGCAGCAGACTGTTACAGATTCTGCCTCGACGCCTAGTGTCACCCTCAGAAGTAAAAGTAAGTTTCCCTTATACTCATTTGATGTATTCTTCTCTATTTGCATGTTTCATAAATCTCACTATATGATGCTTTCTTTTAAAACATTTTTAAAGCTCTTCCAGCAAGGGATCGTCCGTGGTCCACAATATCCATTCCCGATGACCAGCCGGCTCCCCTCGCTCCTCCTCGGAAAAGCCCCAGCAGCATCATGTCTTTCAACAGCAACCCACTGTCCAAGAGCATGTCCATTAATAACATAGCAGGGTCAGTGCTGATGCTCGTGAATATATTTTGATGATTTTTTTTTTCTTCTTTTGAAACTTCTTTGGGAAAGCATTGGATTTTTTTTCTGTATACTATGAATCTTAGAAAATCAAATGCATTAATACAGGGGTGCCCAAACTTGGTCCTGGAGGGCTGTTGTCCTGCAAAGTTTAGTTCCAACTCCAATCAGACACACCTGCACTAGCTAATCAAACTCTTCTAGGCTTTCTGGAAACATCTGTGCCGGTGTGTTGATGCAAGTTGGTGCTAAAATCTACAGGACAGCGGCCCTCCAGGACAGTTTGGGCACCCCCGCATTAAAACATGGTGTATTTTTACTTAGCTTTTTTTGTGTCTATGTCATTGTTAGCTGTTGTGTAAGTGTTTATTGCAGAATTACTTGTAAGAGTACGTGTTTAGGTATGGAAAAATCGAATTAAGTAACAAGTATGTAATGTATGTTGTTTTTCTTCCTAACATTCAGACAAATGGACGACACTCCTCTTAAGAAGTTTCTGTCCCAGTCAACGGACTCTCTTCACAAGACCAGTAAAGTCACGGAGTCTACAGAATCTCTTACTGATGAGGGTAAGAGTTGATTTAAAAAAAAAAATAAATTAAAAAAAAATAAATATACATATATATATATATATATATATATATATATATATATATATATATATATATATATATATATATATATATATATATATGTATTGTTTATTATTTATGGATTATTTACATTGTAGTTATTCTCAGTTTATTTTATTAAATTTAACGAATATGTTATAATAATAATAATAATAATAATAACAATAATAATAATAACAATACTACTAATACTAAGTGTGAATTTAATTATTAAAAAATATGTATTTACATAAAAAAATAAGTAAATGATTTGTATTTGAATTAACAAATTTTCAACAAATGTTTTGGCTCTATTTATTTAATTTAAAAAACATCCAGAAATATTGCGAAATGCTATTTAAAGTCATTTTCAAATACACTTGAATTCATATACTAAAAATTAAAAATTTTTTTGTTACAAAATTTTACTTAACTGTCATTTTGATCTTTGCATTCATCAAAATCTGAAAAAAATATGAGAAATACAATTTCACAATTTAGCACAACAAAATATAATGCATAAACAAAATGTTTTTATATTTGATAATATTAATAATTTTTATCCTAAAAGAGTGCATTTAAAAAATAATAATTAAAAAGTTCAGTTAAAAATACATAATTTATAAATGCTGTTTGTTTAACCTTACTATCAACATTAATAATTCAGAAAGACAAATCTCACAAATTAGCAGCACAATTTCTTTTTTGCATCAAATGACTTGTTCTGTTTTAATTAAATAAATGCATTCTTATGCTGTGTTCACACCAGACCCGGCAAACGTAAATGAATGGCGCTATTCATGCATAATTAGACATGTGAACATATTGAGTTTACTCTATTCACTTCACAACAGACGCGTATTCGCGTCATGGGTGGGGCTTCTGTTTGCTTGCTGACTCTGTCTCCATTGCTAAATGGATAACATGGATTTTGTTGAGATAGTAGCTTTGCTTTATCTGCTTTAGGGAGGCTGAAAAACAGCATATATTAATTCAGAGCCATGTCTGAGTCCACTAGATCCTTTCAGAGGTGCACCCAGCTCTGAGTTCATCAACTCCTTCAGAAACTATACCTAGATGATGGAGGATTTCAGCAGTGCTTCAGACTTAGCAGAACCCAGTTTAATGAACTGTTGTCAGGTTTTGGCAAGAGGATTTTCCCTCGGTACAACAACAGGGACTACATCATTATCACGGCCCTACAAGAGAAAGCTTCTGATTGAATAGCGCAGCACGAATGTCTGCTGAAGTTAGATTTTTCAGCACAAATGATTCGCACAAAATGCTCAACTCGCGGCATTTTATTCACGCAAATCATGTCATTTGAGCCACTTCATTCATGCAAATTGTGCCACAGGATGTCTATTTGCATCTTTGCATAACTTAAAATGTGAATCACACGATTGATGCTTCATCCCCATGAACACAGCATCAAACAGCTAAAAATTCTTTTTTTCCCCCCAAAAACTTAAAAGGTCCATTCCAAACTCAGATTTTTAAATAGTTGTGTAACTAATCCCTACAACTGACCTACAGGTACAGAGATGATGGACAGCCAGCTGATGGGAGAATTTGAAGCTGACGCCAAAGAGCTGGAGGCTGATTCTTATAGCTTCACGGTAGACAAGAAATTTCTTAAGCAGCTTAAAAAGGATGTTATCAAAAGGCAAGACGTCATCTATGGTAAGCAGAACCTACCAGGTTCTCCCATCCAGCTTCTGCTTTCACTATAAGACTTACTAAATGAGGTCATTGACACTCTTGAAAGGTCACACAGTAAGGTTATTTGCTCCTGTCTTTGTCAGAGCTCATCCAGACAGAAATGCACCATGTAAGGACCTTAAAGATCATGGCTGATGTTTACAGCAAAGGACTACTGAGAGAAGTTCAACTAGAAGCTCAGACGGTGGAGAAGATGTTCCCCATGTTGGACGATGTTCTGGATTTGCACACACAGTTCTTTTCACACCTGCTTGAAAGAAAGAAGGAATCAGGGAGCCAAGAAGAGGGCGGCTTTGTCATCCAAAGGATTGGCGATGTGCTGGTTTCTCAGGTAAGGTCGAGCTCAGATTTTTGGTGAAACATTGATGCTTCTGGATCTTGTTGAAAAGGCCCTTTTTTCCCTGATTGTCCCACTTGTTCTTTAGTTCTCAGGTTCCAGTGCTGAGAGAATGAAGAAGGTCTATGGGAAGTTCTGCGGCAGGCACAATGAAGCTGTGAACTTCTACAAGGAGCTTCACACCAAAGACAAACGCTTTCAAGCTTTCATCAAGGTAGTCATCTCTAATCCTTGCAAATATGTGAAAGTAGCCTAAAGCGTTCTTTCTTTTCTTCTCAAGTCTCTAAAATGGAACCGATCCCATGTTTCACATCTGTTTCTGTTTTCCAGAAAAAGATGAGCAGCCCTGTTGTCCGACGGCTAAGCATTCCTGAGTGTATATTGTTAGTCACACAACGAATCACAAAATATCCCGTGTTACTACAGAGAATACTGCAGCACACGAAAGGTATGACTTGTGGTACTATATTCAAAACAATCTTCTTTGTGATGAACCTGCTGATATTCTGATATTTCGCATGGCAGAAAACGAGGAGGACCATGCAGACGTTAGTCAAGGTCTGAAGCTGGTGAAGGAGGTGATTGCTGCCGTGGACAATAAAGTGAATGAGCATGAGAAGAAGAAGAGGCTAAAGGAAGTGTACAGCCGGACGGACAACAAGTCCATCATGAGGATGAAGAGCGGGCAGATGTTTGCCAGAGAGGATCTGTTACGTGGGCGGAAGTTAATTCACGACGGGCCGCTGCAGCTCAAGAACTCAGCTGGCAGACTCAAGGGTGAGAACAAGTGAATTGGGTTCACTGATGAATATACCACCAGAACACCACTCAGAAACCCTTAACAACACCCTAAAACTATGTACAGTAACAACATGATAGAATTCCTAGACATCTGTATAACAACACTATGGCAAACAATTACAACATTAAGCAGGTGTCAAGCTTTAACCGTAATTAAACACACCCCTACTGAAAAAAACAGCTTAAACCAGCCTAGGCTGGTTGGCTGGTTTTAGCTGGTCGACCAGGCTGGTTTTAGAGGGGTTTTGGCCACTTCCAGGCTGGTTTCCAGCCATTTCCAGCCTGGTCTTAGCTGGTCAGGCTGGGAGATGACCAGCTAAAATCAGCTTGACCAGCCTAGCCAGGCTGAGAGCCCAGCCAAAACCAGCTATGTCCAGCTTAAACCAGGCTGGTCAAGCTGGTTTTAGCTGGATTAAGCTGGTCATTTTTCAGCCTGACCAGCTAAGACCAGGCTGTAAATGGCTGAAAACCAGCCTGGAAATGGCCAACACCCCTCTAAAACCAGGCTGGTCAACCAACTAAAACCAGCCAACCAGCCTAGGCTGGTTTAAGCTGGATTTTTCTGCAGGGATCTGATCAAACTAATTAAGTCTTTCAATCTTGTTTGAAGCTTATATGTTGAAGCAAGATTAAAACTAAGCCAAGCAGGGCTGCAGCCCTCCAAGAAGAGTTTGGCACCTTTGGTTTGACACCCCTGACGTTGACACTCTAGCAAGCATAGAACAGCTAAAAAAAAGATGTCACTTAAGATGAAAACCTAAGCAACAAATAGCAACTTCTGTATGACAACACTACAGCAGAGTCACCAAAATCAACCACAGTGACATGATGAAATGGCCAGAACACAAAGACCAAAGGGGTCCAACTCAGTTTAGCTTTAACCCCAATGAAAACACACCTGATGGAACAACAAACATAAATAAAAAAATAATAAAACTTATTCTGAAGACCTAAGTAACCATATAGCAACACCATAACAACTAATCACAATACAATATTGAAACATTTAACAGCAATCATATCATAAAATGTGCAGAAACCCTACTGTATAGCAACACCTTGGCAACCAACCACAACACCCTAGCAACCACTTTACTGAAATGTCATAGAGCACTCTAAACACCTAGGCAACCGCGTAGAAACACCATAGCTACTAATCACCACACCCTAACAACCACATGACAAAACGTACTTAGAAATTGCTTCGGCAAGACCATAGCAACCATGTGACAGCAACAACATGACCAACATGACAAGACTGACTCAGAAAACCTAGATGTCTACATAGAAATATGAAATCAACCTCATATGAGAAGTGATATGATACAATGCAGAGAACAGGTACTTTAGAAAACCTCACCAAGTAACTGCATAACAAAATGCACAGAAAATCTAGGTTGCATAGCAACCAGTCTTGGCAATCAATCACAACACCCTAGAAACCACTTTACAGAAATGGCATAAAGCACTCTAAACATCTAAACACTTGGGCAACCACATAGCAACACCTAATCACAATTGTAACATCAAGTAAGCACATAACAGCACTGGCATAATACAATGTACACAAAACCAACCTTGGCAACCAATCACAACACCCTAGAAACCGCTTTACAGAAATGGCATAAATCACTCTAAACACCTAGGCAAACACATAGCAACACAACGGCTACTAATCACAACATAATAGAAACCGCAAGAGCCTAGCATAAGCAACAACTCGCTTAGAAGAACACCTAGGCATCTGCATAGCAACACCCTAGCAATCATGTAACAAAAACAACACAGACAGCAGAACTCAAATAAATGGCATGATGGATGGATGGATAGATAGATGGATCAATAAATAGATGGCTGGCTGGATGGATAGATGGCTAAAGGGATAAATAGATTGATAGATCTCTGAATGGATGGCTAGATAGATGTTGGATGGCTGGATATATGGATATATAGATGGCTGGATATATATAGATGGATGGATAGATAGATGGATGGATGGATGGATGGATGGATAGATAGTCAGACAGCTAGATGGATAGATAGTCAGACAGCTAGATGGATGAATAGACTGGGATAGATAGATAGATAGATAGATAGATAGATAGATAGATAGATAGATAGATAGATAGATAGATAGATAGATAGATAGATAGATAGATAGATAGATAGATAGATAGATAGATAGATAGATAGATGGACGGATAGATAGATGGACGGATAGATAGATGGACGGATAGATAGATAGATAGATAGATAGATAGATAGATAGATAGATAGATAGATAGATAGATAGATAGATAGATAGATAGATAGATAGATAGATAGATAGATGGACGGATAGATAGATAGATGGACGGATAGATAGATAGATGGACGGATAGATAGATAGATGGACGGATAGATAGATAGATGGACGGATAGATAGATGGATGGATAGATAGATGGATGGATGGATTGAAAACCAAGACGTAGCAACACACAGCATAGCAACACCATAGCATCCATGTAACACAAACAACATGACATAACTCACTCTGAAAACCTTAGCAACAGGATAGTAACACCTGATGAGAAAATGCTAAAACATTTGGAGCCCTTAGACAAAACAACGTGGCAACACCTTATTAACCACTCAAAAGATGTTAAAATTAAAGTAGTGAATTTTATTTCATTTTTTTTTTGCAAAATATACCATGTGCATGAATTACCATGATGTTTCCCTGACAGAACACAGTCCCATCTATCACCACAGAAACACACACCCACACTAACACAAACAGGGCCTGTTTTTAAATCTATCGAACATGCTCTTCTCCAGATGTCCAGGCTCTGCTGCTGAGGGACGTGATTGTGTTCCTGCAGGAGAAAGATCAGAAGTACATTTTCGCCTCTTTGGTATGTTTAGCATTCATCAATAATCCGCTTGTTATGTCTGACATCATGCATCACAGTTTCCAGATCCAAATGCTCTATCAGATGCCGAAAGCAAACAACGAATGGTAGTAATTAGTGATATCAAATGATCTGTCACATCCAAACTAAAAGGTTGCATTTACATAATATATATGTGTCCTGTATATATTTATTTACATGTTTGGGAAAATATGTATTTATATTTATGTTGTATATTAAATATTTACATTGACAGATGGATGCATGGATATAGATACCTACATAAATATATATGTACATGTTTGAAAAAATGTTTATTTATATTTCTATGAAATATTTGCATATTTAGATGGATGGTCGATAGATGGATAGCTATATATAGATACCGATGGATGGATGGATGGATGGATGGATGGATGGATAAAAATATAAATGCATAAATGGTTAGACAGATGAATAAATGGATGGATGGGCGGACGAATGGATACATGGATGGATGGACGAATAGAGGGATGGATGGCTAGATAGGTGGATGGATGGCTACAGTAGATGGATGGATGCTAGATAGGTGGCTGGCTGGCTGGATGGATGGATGGATGTGTGTATAGATAGATGGATAGATAGATGGATAGCTAGGTAGATGGCTGAGTGGATGGCTGGATGAATAGCTAGATGGATGGATGGATGGATAGCTAAATAGATGAATAAGTAGACGGATAGGTGGATACATGGATTGATGGATGGATGGATAGGTGGATAGATGGATGACTGGATAAATGGATGGATGGATGGATAGAGGGCTAGATAGATGGTTAGAAAAATAGATAGATAGACAGACAGATGGCTGGATGGATGAATGGCTGGATGGACGGATAGCTAGATGGATGGATCCTAGATAGATGGGTGAATGGATGGATGGCTGAATAGATAGCTAGATAGATGAATAGGTAGATAGATAGGTGGCTACAGTAGATGGATGGATCCTAGATAGGTGGCTGGCTGGCTGGCTGGATGGATGGATGGATGTGTGTATAGATAGATGGATAGCTAGGTAGATGGCTGGATGAATAGCTAGATGGATGGATGCTAGATGGATGGATAGCTAGATAGATGAATAGGTAGACGGATAGGTGGATACATGGATTGATGGATGGATGGCTAGGTGGATAGATGGATGACTGGATAAATGGATGGATGGCTGAATGGATAGAGGGCTAGATAGATGGTTAGAACAATAGATAGATAGACAGACAGATGGACGGACAGATGGATGGATGGATATATGGATGGATGGACAGATAGCTAGATGGATGGATCCTAGATAGATGGGTGGATGGATGGCTGGATAGATAGCTAGATAGTAGATGGATAGGTGGAGGTGGATACATGGATTGATGGATGGATAAACGAATGGATGGATAGATAGATGGATTGATGGATGGATAAACGAATGGATGGATAGATAGATGGATGGATGGATGGATAGATGGCTAGATAGATAGGTAGAACGATAGATACATACGGATAGATAGATAGATGGCTGGATGGATATATGGCTAGATAAATAGATAGATATATAGGTGGTTATTAAAGGCTTTTTTTCAGTTTAGTAGACGATCAGACTTATAAACAGTATTTCATACATCTCAACTTAAGATATTATATTATAATTATATTATATGTTTACTTCACACTTTGTTCTTTAAATGCTGAATGATTAATAGTACTTTATCCTTACAAGTTTAGAAGGAACATAATTAATCATATTGTGGCTGTAATTTTCTACTCTGATCTTTCAGGACCAGCGCTCCACCGTCATCTCCCTGCAGAAGCTCATTGTGAGGGAAGTAGCCAATGAGGAGAAAGCTCTGTTTCTGATCACAGCAGGCATCGAGAAGCCCGAGATGGTAGAAGTGTACACAAGCTCCAAAGAGGAGAGAAACACATGGATGCAGCTCATTCAGGAGGCCATGCAGTCTATGTAAGCCTCCTTATATGAAATAAGATGCTCCAATTTGGTGTATGCGTCTAATTAAATGAACAAAAACAGCGTTTGTATACATTAAAAGCTTGATAAATGCAAGTAGTTTGTACTTGAATGTTTTTAATAGCTGCTTTGTAAACTCAAACTCTTTTATCCTCATCAAATCATTCTTGTTCTCATATGCTAATTGTTTCTTGCTAATTAAAGTGTTGTTACTCTTGATGACATGTTAGTGGTTATCTTATATAAGTCATATCAAACAGTTATTTTTGAGTCAGAAAAAAACATTTTAAGGAAATTCATAGCAACATGTAATTTCAATATTTTAAGATGTATTTAAATTCTACCCTTATTTGGGTTAATTAGTATAGAATAAATAGAGTTATACTTTAATAGTGACTATTATTGTAACAAAAGATACTTTTTAAGCATCTGAATTTGTGAGAGCTGGTAGTCTTTCTTTACAGACTGTCCATTTCCTCCAGGGAGAGAGATGATGATGAAGGTGTGCCAAGTGAAAACGAAGAGGACAGGAGACTTCAGGAAATCAAGGTCAAGGAGTTCAGAGGTACAGAAGTTTGTTTTCCTCTTTCTTGCTTGAAATGAATTATTCATGTAAACTGGGTAATAAAGAGACTAAGCTGAAAAGAAAATGAATGAATGAATGTATACTGGGTTTGTTTGGTTTTAAACAAAAAGTGAAAATCTGCATTTTAAGGCATTTCTTTTTTCAAGGATAATAATTTTTTAACCCTCTAGTACAGGGGTCGCTGTTCGCTGATGTTATTTTCAGTTAAAACTCAATTCACACGGCATGATTTGAATCGCCGACAGCTCCAGATATTTAGCATGCCAAATATCTCACAGGCATCGTCGACTCATCGGCGATTCTCTCAGATCGCATCTTTGAAAGTTCATACCTAGTGATTGTCACTCACGTGCACAAGCAGCGATTTGCCCGTGATTTCAGGCATTTGTCGGCGATTTCTCAAAACCTGTCGGCGAGCCAAAATTGGGGCTAAAATCACGCATTCTGAACTAGGCATTACCTGTAGGTTTCAAACAAGCCTGAAGGACTCAATTAGTTTGATCAGGTGTGTTTAATTAGGGTTGGAACTAAACTGTGCAGAGCTGCGGCCCTTTTGGAACTAAGTTTGACACCCGTGCTCTAGTAATTGTGCAGGATCCAAATTAAATGGAAACAACAAAAACTACAAGTCATCTTTATGTATGACAGTTAGTAAAATGTCCTTCTTAAATAATGAGAAATAGGTGATCTGTAGCCTTAATAAACAAGAAAATTTGCAAACCTGTATTGTTTCTCCGCAGCAATCCTTTATATATTTAAATATTTACTTGTAGAATTGAAAAAGGTATGGAACATTCATATTTTTCAAGGTATTGAATTGAAGTTAAAATACTCCAGTATCATGACAACACTAATAAACAAGAACATTTGCTAACCTGTATTTTACTTGTTATTCCGCAACAACCCTTTAAATGTTTTCTTGCAGAATCGAATATCGATATTTTTAACCCCTTAAGGCCCGAGGTGTTTTTTACATGCATTTTTTATTTCTCTTTACTATTTGGGCTTATTGGAACCTAACTAGAATAAAACTCAAAGATCATCTTTTTATATGATGTACTTTTCGAGTAAAATGATGTCCATATATGTGGATTCGTAGTCCGAATTGACATAAAACTCTTTTTCCTTAAAACACTTTTTGCATATATAACATATAATTTTTTTAATTTGACTATACATTTTGACTATCAGAGAGTAAAAACTATTTTTTTTTCCATTTTGGGCAGTTAAAAATAGGGTTTGGGACATTTAATATGCTGCAAAACAGTCTGTAACGAAATATAAAACATTTAAAGTATTTTAAATAGTCACTTAAGAGCTAAAATGTGCTGTACACGTATGCGTCCATTAAGCCCTAGGAGGTTGAGGTTTCATATCAATGTTAGAAATTCCAGTATCATGACAACACTAATAAACAAGAACATTTGCAGACCTGTATTTTATCTCCGTTACTTCACAACAATCTTTTAAATATGTTCTCGCAATATCGAAAATGGTATGGAATTTCCATATTTTTCAAGGTATCTAAGTTAGGAATTCCAGTATCATGACAACACTTATAAACAAAAACATTTGCAAAACTGTATTTTATTTTTGTTTCCCTGCAGCATTTCTTTAAATATTTCCTCGCTGTATTAAAAATGGTGTTGAATATTGATATTTTGCAAGGTATTGTTATTGAAGTTCTAAATTCCATTATTGTGACAACACTAGTCAGAAGCCACTTGTTGGTTTATGCTCTTGTTTTCCACCTTCTTTACGATATCACACGCCATTTAAAATGGCATTATCTGAGACAATGACTATTGTTACAGACAAAATAGTGTTGTACTTATACTTCAAGTTAGGAAATAAAATGAACCTGTCTATACAGATCAGCTGCACAAAAGAGACGAGCAGATCTTGACGTTACTGGAGGAGAAGGTGAAGTTGTTCAGGGACATGTGTGACTGTGGTGCACCGGACGAGACGGGGCTTCGTAATCGAATGCTCTTCAGGGCCACGACGGATGATGTCACCAGAGGAGAGCCAATCATGAAGGAGGCTCTGAAGGAAGGTGAGTTATAACATTAACCACCCCTCCCCCCCATCCACCGCTCAAAAAAAATAGCACTTATAAACAAATGCTGCTATTGAACTGAATGCATAAAGCATGTTTTTGTGAATATTGTTTTCTAAGAGGGTAGAAATGAGGAATATAATTGGGTTTGAGGGTGTTAGCAATATGTTGCATCAGACGAGCATATGTTCCCTAGCCTGTTACTCATGCTTTTTTTAATCAGAATCACATTAGATTTATGAGTCACTGAGAACTCGGTACTAGCTGTGCTTGTAGCAAATAATTAAAGGCATAATTAAAAGGATGAAAGTACTTTTTCTTGTTGCAGCTAAGCTAATGCACATTTCTAGAAGAAAAGCATAGTTTGTTCTAATGTAAATAAACAAATCAGTTTCATTTTTAGAACTAGTTCATAATAAAACAAAATGGTTTAAAATGTTTAATTGAATAAAAAAAAACTCTAGCTCTATTAATAATTGTTAAATTAACTTATTACATACAAAATAATGCATAATTATATAAATATTTGATTTACATATAAAATCAAAACTGACCATATTGATTTTGTTAGCGCATATTGCTAGTTTTGTGTTAAACAATTTATCTGTGCATGTCGTTTAGGAAAAAAGGTAGTTTGCCCTTGTAATCTAAAATTGAAATCTTAAAATGCACTTCCTGTTTGTTTTCAGTTCAATTCTTAGATTAAGCCAGTTTTAGGTATTGGGTGTGGTTAACATACTTAACCCCCACCCTCTAACTGTCAGTTTTGACTATGACAACAAACAGAAATAGCAAGGAGATGGTGTCTGTTAGATTGTAATAACTCTCCTGAAACAGTTTTCCGACCTGTCTCGCATTGCAATAGTATCATGACAACACTAATAGACAAGAATGTCTGCAAACCTGAATAAAACTTCCATTACCCGTCAACAATCCTTTAAATATTTCCTTGAGGTATTGACAATGGTATCGGATATCGATATTTTTCAAGGTATCATATTGAAGTTAGAAATTCTAGTATCATGAGAACACTAAAAAACAAGAATGTTAGCAAAGCTGAATTTTACTTCCCTTTCTTTGAAACACTTCTTTAAATATTTCCTTGCAGTATCGAAAAAGGTATCGAATACCGATAATTTTTCAAGGGGTCATATTTTAGTAATTCCAGTATCATGACCAAACCTAAAAAACAAGAACATTTCCAAACCCGTATTTTACTTCCTTTCATTCGCAACAGTCCTTTAAATATTTCTTCACAGTATGAAAAATGGTATCGAATATTGCTATTTTTTTAATGTATCGTATCGAAATGAGAAATTCCAGTATCATTGCAACACTAATTAACAAGAATGGTTGCAAATCTTTATTTTATTTCTGTTATGATGCGACAGTCTTTTAAATATTTCCTCAGTATCAAGAATGGTATTGGATATCGATATTTTCAAAGTATCGTATTAACAGTAATAATTCCAGTATCATGACTAAAAACATAAATGTCTGCAAACTTGAATTTAACTTCCATTTCTCAGCAACGATCCTTTAATTAGGTGAATTATTTGTTGCTGTTTTTCTATCAAAACGTTTTCTGACCAGCCTCGCATTGCAATAGTGGAACAGCCAATTGGATGCGTTTGTGGGCGTGGCTATGTTTGTCACTATGTGGGTGGGATTGTCACTAAATCAATTTAAAAATAACTGTAATGAAGAATTAAACATTTAGATTTTTTTTTTTTAATTTGAAGTCCACGGTCTAAAATGTAGTCAAAAATGACTAAAGTGACACTAAAGCGAATAAATGATTTTCCCTAGACAGCATTTTGGGGTGCCCATAGAGCGTGGAAGATGTTGAAAGTGCTGAGAAGACACATTGAATGCGGAGTGATAGATGTTGGTGCGACGGTAGGAGAATTCATTATGAGAACGTGAACACGAGCACAATCGATACGCACCGCTCATCTCATCCTGCAGATAATGGATTGCTTTAATGTTGCAGGTCAAGAATGGGGAACGAGTATCGATTACTGTTGTCTCGCAGCATTTTTCTGAGCTGTTGGTGTGTGTGTGTGTGTGTGTGCGCGCTTGAATTTTGGAAGCATCAGGTTGTTCCTCTTAGGGGGCAATAGTAGAAATGCCACAAATTATATTATATTAGCAAAATATAAAAAGTTTGTATAATGTCCTCTATTTATATTACTTGTATTACTTTCTTTCTTGTTCCAAATTAAAAGCATTTGGTTATATGTTGATTTTGTGGTAAATAAGATTTAAAAAATTAAATACTTTGTAATTTTAATTTGAGGTAAACTATGACCATGAAAATAAAATTTTTTAAGATAAACAATTTTTTTGTTCTCTTGATTTTGAAGAATGACATCCTTGTTTTTGAAAGCAAATGTTGTAAATATTAAAAGAATATGCTAATGTTAGTGTACATGTTAAAACATGAACAATCTATATTTCTTGCACTACTTTTTCCAAAAAAAAAAAAACTTTTATTTTTGGGTTCATCCTGATTTTGTGGTGCATATAAGCCCCCGATATCTTTTCAAAATAATTAAAAAACCTTTATGTAATTTTAATTTGAGTAAAATATGGTAAAATATGACCCTAAAATTTGTTTTATTTAAATAATTTTTTCCCTTAAATTTGTCAAGTGACACTTTTAATGAATTCCAAAATTTATTCATGCATTTATTATGTTTAATTTTATATCTTTAATTTATTTAATTACTGTATTTTTTTTTCATTTATCCATTCATTTTTAGATTCATTGTTTTATCATTTTGCATCAATTACAATGTCTAATGTATAATCTCTGTGTGTGTGTTTGTGTTCGCAGTTGAAACGCTGCAGGTTCTGGTTAATGACAGTCTTGGCGGTGCGGTTCAGGAAGGTGTGTGCGCGGCTGGACATGTGACTTTGCCACGACGAGCGGAAACATTTGGAGGTTTCGACAGTCACCAGATGAACATCTCTAAGAGCAAAGGTTCCTGTACTTTCCACAAGTGTGTGCGTCTGTGTGTGTGTGTTTCAGGTAAAGCTGATGGTATCTGTGCGTGTGTGTTTGTTTTCCTGCAGATGGAGACAGAGAGGAGCTGGAGGAGTCTGCAGAGCTCCGCAGGACTGAGTCAGACAGTGTGTTGAAGAAGGTACTTAGACTACCAGTGTGTCTATCAAAAAATCTCAATGTGGAACAAAACAAAAACTGTGTCATGCAAAATTGCTGCATGTATGAAAAGCCTCAATATTGTAATGCATTACTTTCAAAAATAACATGTTACATTTATTATTATTATTAAGAAATACAGCTCATGTATAAAATATAAACAAGATATTTTGAAAAATTAGTTCATGTAGGATCTTTTCTAAAATGAATTTTTTATGATCTTTTCTATAATTACATGAACTCTTTCTACTTAATTCCTGATTATAAATGAAGTAATCTTTATATATATATATGTGTATATATATATATATATATATATATATATATATATATATATATATGATGAGTACAATAAATAAAATGGAACTAATGACAATTAATGTAATAAATGCTTTTCATTTGTGCATGCATATTTTATAAGCGCTGTCCATTAATAACCCGACTGATGTTCAGTCATCAGTGCATCGGCATATGCTCCGAGCAGTAAGTGCTGAGCATCAGGATATATGTGTGCAATGTAACACTCATTACCTGAAGCGAACTGCAGATTTACAGTACAGCAGAAGTACAGTCCAGTAACCTGAGGAGGAATGTAATGCGAGCCTTCATCATGGCCTCTTATATCCGGCAGCTGCTTGTCGATGGGTGTATGGATTGCTTTACAGATGATTGATTTACAGTATGTACAGCGCTTGATTTATTGTTTGTACAGTACTGGTTTTGTGACCGTCTCTCTCTCTCTCTGTCCTGCAGACGAGTAAGACCAACCCTTTACTGCTGGTCAGGAGAAACAATGAGGTAAGACGTGTGTTTGGGAACTAATCCAGATCAACTGGATTAAGCAGATAAAAAAGAAAAAGAGTTGAAATAATATTAACTATTTATATTATATTATTATTCCTATATATATATATATATATATATATATATATATATATATATATATATATATATATATATATATATATATATATATATATATATATATATATATATTTGTTTGGTTTATATCTATTTTGTAAAAAATAAGGCTCAAATATGTTTTCAAAATTAAAAAAAAAGTGTATTTAAAGGTATAAATAAATGTAAAAAATAAATAAATGCAATTTTTAATTTGAGGTAAAATTTTGACCCTGACATTTTTTTAATAGATTTTTTTTATGGTTATTTTTTTTACGTAAACAACTTAAAAAATAAAAATGCTTGTTTACAAGCACATTTTACAAACTGTTCATATATTCTGCTCACCTTTGATGATATAAGCTAGTCTCTCCAGTCCAATACAGTTCAATAGTCTTTTTTTTCCACAACTCTATGGATAAAACCCAGGATAATGCAATAGCCCTTCTAGCTTGAAGAAAACCATAATCCAAAATGTTTGACTTTCCGATCATAAGTTCCATCAGATAAAGACCAAGAATACAGAGCTTGGCATTTATTTGGAATTTAATATTTAACATCTGACATAAAGTTGAAGTCAGAATTATTAGCCCCCTTGTTTATTTTTTTCCCCCAATTTCTGTTTAACGGAGAGAAGATTTTATTCAGCATATTTCTAAACATAATAGTTTTAATAACTCATTCCTAATAACTGATTTATTTTATCTTTCCCAGGATGACAGTAAATAGTATTTGACTTATATTTTTCAAGAAACTTCTATACAGCTTAAAGTGACATTTAAAGGCTAATTAGGTTAATTATGCAAGTTAGGGTAATTAAGCAAGTTATTGTATAATGATGGTTTGTTCTGTAGACTATCGGTTAAAAAAAATTTGCTCAAGGGGGCTAATGATTTTGACCTTAAAATGGGTTTTGAAAAATTAAAAACTGCTTTTATTTTAGCCGAAATAAAACAAATAAGAATTTCTTCATAAAAATGTTTTTTATCAGACATACTCTGAATATTTCCTTGCTCTGTTAAACATCATTTGGGAAATATTTAAAAGAGTAAAAATAAATCAAAGTGGGGATAATAATTCAATCATCTCTTTCCAAAGCTCTTGTGTTTTAGGACATTTATACTGTGTTGTTTATTTAAAATAATAAGAACTGATATAATTGTTGTCTCCTATAAACAAGTTTTACATAAATGTGAATTAAATAAAAGGGATAGTTCACCCAAAAATCTAAATTTACCCTTGAGTGGTTTCAAATCTTTGAGTTTCTTAATTTTGTTGAAAACAGAAGATATTTTAAGAAAGCTGAAAACCTGTAACTATTGACACCCAGTGTAGGAAACAAAGACTATGGAAGTCAATGGTTGCATGCTCGTTTTTGTAAAATAATTCAAATATGGATGTTTTTGTTTTATTAAATAGTTTACACATACTTAAAAATCTTGAGATTAATAAATTACATATGAAAATATGTTATCAGTATTTTAAGTGTACCTCTGTGTTTACATACTCTGTTCTTTATTTTAAAAAATAAGAATTAATGTAATTGTTGTCTTGTATATACATTTTTTTACTTAAATGTGAATGAAGGGATATTTCACTCATAAATCTAAATTTACCCACCCTTGAGTGCTTCCAAATCTTTGAGTTTCTTACTTTCTTTCTTTTTTTTTTTTTTTTTACACAAAATAAGATACTTGGAAGCATGTTGAAAATCTGTAACCATTGACACCCATAGTAAAACGAAAAACAAATGCTTTCTTCAAAAGATCTTCTTTATCGTTCAACAGAAGAAAGAAACAGTAAGATTTGGATCAAGTGGAGGATAAGTGATAACAGAAATTTTATTTTTGGGTGAACTGCTGCTTTCTAATTCTAATCATTGGAAATAAAGTAGTCAACATTTGAAGTGAATCATCACCTTTCATCAAAGATTCAAAACATTTGCACCCATTTTTGATTCACTTCAGATGTCGACTACAATATACTTCTACACTATTATATATATATATATATATATATATATATATATATATATATATATATATATATACACACACACACACACACACACACACACACACAGTGTGTGTGTGCGTTTTATTTGTATTTATTTATTTTTAAGTAAAATAGCCAACTGTCTGCATCTCAGTTTGTAAACCATTTCCATTTTCTCAATCTTTTCCTCTTCCTCCAGCAGGTTCTTCAGAGCGTTGCTCATCTTCATGACCTGCTGAACACATTACAAGTGAGTCATGCTTTTTTCTGTAGTTTTTTTATTATTATTATTATTATTTCTCTCTCTGATCGACACACACGCTTTTAATACTGGAATAGATCCTCCCACGTGATCTCTTTGTAAAAGCACTCAATTGTGTCTGCTTTAATTCTGTGAGGAATTTATTTTATTCATTGCATTCCTTTGAAGCGAATTTTAACACTGTTAATCCAAATTTAGTTTTAGCAAAAATAAACCATAAAAACTTATAATCTATATCTTGCACTATACATTTTCTCAATGACAGCCATAGAAACTAACATGGGGTTAGATACAAATAAACAAACAAACTAACTCACTCTCTCTCTCGCTTTCTCTCTGCTCCACTTGACCAGCAGCTTGAATTACTAACAACACAGAAATAAACTGAATTTGTAAATGCACGGCTTTATTTGGTTAACTCGTAATTAATCAGAGTGCATTATGATGAACTGACTTGCACTCTAGCGGATTTATACCACTCCTGGCTTTAAAGGGATTCTTTACTTGCATGCACAAACACAAACTTAAGTTTTGGTTAGTTTACTCACTCAGGCCATGCAAGATATACAGAGAAGATCAAAAAATAAATAAATAATAATTAAAAAAATAACCTTTTCTAAATTTTAAGAGCCGCCTTTTGTGAGGGGCATGTTATGTGGACAACAAGAACTGAGCCAGAGTTCACTTTAGTGATAAAACCATGTGTAATTGAATTGTGTCTAATGGGTAGGGCCAGACGGAATCTGCAGACATTTTTTGCTGTTTCTGCGGAAAACTTTGGTAAAAATCTGTGGATTTCTGCTAAATTATTTTAGGAGTATCATAACTAAAACCTTAATATGTGAAATAAAAAATAAGATCTTTAAAACTTGTATTTAATGTTTAAAATGCAAATCCAATTAGATTCACATTATTTGGTAAACAAAGCTAGTCTCTCATGTAATAGATCTACTAAATGACAGAAAATATTATTGTACAAACTGCATTGTACATAAATCAGATGGGCATTTTCATATTAGTCAATAATATTACTGTAATTAATAAAAAACCTGAATAAATATAGATTTACACACATTTACTCAAGTAAATAAACTGAATTAATGATGGAAAAATGTGTGGGAAATGTGTGGAACTCTGCACGCACAGATTCTGGGTGGGCCTACTAATGGGTAACAGCATGTTTGTTGTCAAACTAAAGAAAGACTGAACCCAAAGTGTGTACAGAATTCTATAAAGGTGGAGGTGGTTCATAAAGGTGGTTTTCTACAGCAGGAGTTTGGCGGACTTATAAAGCTACTTACAGTACATGACAGACTCCTTCAGCAACATGTGGTTCCTTTCCTGTATTCATTGGTCAATCAGCCAGTTCATTTCATGCAGGATAAGCAGGCAAAGCAGTTGCTTCAAGCTGAAAGCACTGAAATAATAAAATGGCTGCCCAGAGTCCCAATCTAAACCTGACTAAAAAACTATGGAAAATACTTAATGAAAAAGGAAATGGATCTACGTTCCTAATAATTTTTGACTGCTCTCCCTAGTAAGCCATTTTACAAGCCATTACCTTTTACATTATTTTTGATCACTATGTTTTTGTTGTTGAAGTAACATGTTTAGTTTGTAAAACATGGTTCTATTAAGGTATAACCAGTTAATTCCTTCACATTTAAAAAAAAAAGTGTTCATACATTTGTGTTTGCTTTTGGTCTGATACCTTTTCTCCATCAAAACATTAAATCAGATTTTTAGCTAAACTCGGTGACTCATAAAATGTAAGTCAAAAGCTTCTTTGTCACGTTTAAAAACAAAAACATACATGCAACATAAAATCAATGTATGCATGTTCTGAAACTACACTGATGTCTAATGAAGCAAAACATCAGTCCATGCAAGAAAAGAAGCATTATTTACAGTCTTTCACTCACACACTCAGCAAACCATTCCTAGTACAATCCTACAGTACTCTCAGATTGCTCACACACTAAAGTCATTCTTTCTCCTCCCCAACTCCAGGCTGTGGTGGTCCAGCAGGACACCTTCATCGAAGACCAGCGTCACGCTCATCCCTCCTCACGCCACCCATCCATCTCCTCCTCTACCTCCTCTTTATCATCCACCTCATCCCGGCCGAGCTCTCTAATCGAGCAGGAGAAACAGCGCAGCCTGGAGAAGCAGCGGCAGGAGGTGGCCAGCCTCCAAAAACAGCAGGCGGCCCACGCCGAGGAGAGGCGGCGCAGGGAAAAGCAGTGGGAGACCCGAGAGAAAGAGCTAACCCAGAGGGAGATGCAGATCCAGAGCCAAGAAGAGGAGGCGCAGAGGAGAGCCAGACAGCTGGAGGAGGAGAAACAGGAGCTGCAGAGTAAGAAAGAGGAGTATCAGAGAGACCTGGCACGACTGCGGGACAGCCAGAAGAGACTGGAGAGAGAGAGAGAGCAGGTGCAGAGAGAGGCAGATGAGCTTAAACTGACTGAGGTGAGGACCAGGGGTGATGGCACTAATAATAATAGAGCAATTCCAGCATTATGGATGGGGTATTTGCGAGTAAAAAGCATAAATTCACAAAAAAATGTATTTGTTAACATTCTATTGAAATATCAGTTTATATTTTCCAAAACTACTAACCACATAGTTAAGAGATCAGAAAATTATCTGTAAACAGTTTATATTTTAAATAAAGGTGGTTCATGAATGCGACTAAAAAAGTTATTGAGATTGTAGTCTACAACATAATTTGTACCCCCCGGCAGAAATTTGCAGATTTCCAGATTTTTTTTATGGCTTTATCATTGAGTCTATTTATTTACTTCTGTAATTGTATTTTTCTTCAGTTTTTACATTATTTCAGTAGTGAGCAAATGTTTATATGATTTACAATACAGTTTGTAAAGTAATATTTACTGTCTTTTAATGGTAAAACTTTATGAGACACTTGCTTTGTAGTTATAAATAAGTTTTAGCAGTTTTTAGTTGCTATGCTTTCAACATTATTCCACATAAATCTGCAGCTTTTTACAAAACTGCACAGAAAAAGCAAAACAAACAAAAGAAAAAAAGGATTAAAAATAACCCTGGACATGTGCTATTGATTAACATTTAGATCAGGTCAAGCCTATTTGTGTTCTAGCCTATCATAGCCACTGTTTTAAGTATAATAAAAGTTTACAAATGTAATATGAATTGTGCATTACAGTAGCAAAAAAAAGTTTGAGTTCATTGAGATTAATATTACTATTTCTTTTACAAATAATAAACATTTCTACTACCACTAATAATAATAAATTATCAGAGTATATAGAGTTGAAGTCAGAATTATTCTGAATTATTAGCCCCCCCGTTTATTTTCCCCCCACTTTCTATTTAACAGAGAGCATATTTTTTCAACACATTTCTAAACATAATATTTTTAATAACTAATTTTAAATAACTGATTATTTTTTTTTTATCTTTGCCATGATGACAGTAAATAATATTTTACTAGATAAGTCTTCAAGATGCTTCTATACAGCTTAAAGTGACATATAAAGACTTAGGAAAGTTATTGTATGACGATGGTCTGTTCTGTAGACTATCGAAAATAAATATAGCTTAATAATATTGACCTTAACATGGTTTTAAAAAACATTTAAACTGTTTTTATTCAAGACGAAATCAAACAAATAAGACTTTCTCCAGAAGAAAAAATATTATCCCACATACTGTGAAAATGTCTTTGCTCTGTTAAACTTTATTTAGGAAATAATTAAAAAAGGAAAAAAAATTCCCAGGGGGTTGAATAATTCTGATTTCAGCTGTGCTTATAATGTCAATATATTTTAAGTAATATACACTGTTAAACATAATTTTCTGTATTTTTTTTTTACAGAATTTTCCAGGTTTTTATTATAAAGTGAATTAACAGTTGTTTTACGGATATTTTCTGTATTAAAAAATTCTAACATGTTAATTTACAGATAACTGTTAGTATTTTTAAATTACGTTATCTGTATTTTCAGGGAGTAACGTGTAATATTACATTAATATTTACAGATTATTCCTAGAAAATAGGGAAACAAAATCAGACTACTGTGCATTCATTCAGTCAAAGTGCTTTTATCAATGAAGACGAAGTTAATCGTGAGAATTAAAGTGAGGTTATTAATGTCAAATAATAGCCATTATAATATATCTTCAGCATTATTACTTCTAATATGATCCTATGGAAACTTCTTGTGGTCACACTTCACAATACTTCTCTTAGTTAATGTTAGTCACTGTCTTTGCTAACATGAACAATACATGCATCACTATATTTATTTATTACCCTTTTTATATTAGTTAATGAAAATAAAGTTGTTCATTGTTAGTTCATGGTAAATCTTTGGTTTCTTGTTAACGTTTGGTTTTATTAATGCATTAATAAATGTTGAATTATGATTAATAAATGCTATACATGTATTGTTCATTATAAGATCATGTTAGTAAATGCAGTAACTAACATTAACTAATGAAATCTGATTGTTGGCAATATTATTATTAGTAGTATTTTGCAATGCGTGTATATGACCAATAGCAGTGGTGTATATTTTACTGGCGCCAAACCTTTGAATGATAGTATAGTATACATCTTCTTAATAGCCATTTTATAACAGGAAATTGATATTTAAGTGATTATTCACAGAAAATCCACCCTTTATCTTGCTGTAGCGTGTTCATGAAAGTGATATCTGATGCATAACTCAATCATTATGTTGAGTCAGATGCTTTACGATACTTCTCCTTTCATTATATGTAATCAAAAAGAATATAAATGTAATTTTTTTCCTCCCGTTTCCTTCCCAGTGAACAAATGTCAGACAGAATTGGACTAAAATGAGGGCAAGGACTGAATCATTTTTCAGCTAATCCTCTGCCCAGTTTGTATCTGATCTGAATGGCAATATGCTTAGTGATTATTCTGTGATGGTACAGTACACTCACACCATATTCACTGATTACTTGAGAAAATCCCTAATCTTTTCCATTCCACCCTGAAATTACACAAGTGCTCGGTAATTATGTGAAAAACGAAAGCCTTTTCATTTATGATGATCCATAGTATCATTCATTTCTCCCGAAACCTCACAATGATATAAAATGACTCCAGATAATTCAAATGATATTTAATAAATGGTTCCCACATGCTCCAAAACACACTTGCCCCTTTCCGTAATAAATGAATTATTTTATAAGGCTAAATCTTCACTAATTTCATCGTCCATGAATCAAATGTTGGTACTGCCTCTGACTTCCAATGTTAAAGGTTAAATGTTAGTTCGCCCAAAAATGAAAATGTTATTTGTTACTCACTCACATGTCTTTCCAGCCCACCTGAGATCTTTGTTTGTCTACAGAATACAAATTAGGATATTTTAGATGAAATCAGAGAGTTCCCTCATCCTTCACAGACAGAAATGCTTCCGATTCAGAGTTGAGGAAAAAAAAAAGTAAAAATCCTCAAAACAGACCATATGTTTTCAGTGGATCAGTTGGATTTAGTTTGTTTTTCTGCAATATATATATTGTAAGGCATGCAATTTCACCAGATGACTTGAATAGGTCTATTAGGGGTAAAAACATTTATTAATTTATTCATAAAAAAACGTATAATAAACAAATTGCAAGAACAAATAAAGAAAATAAACTAAGATCAAAGCAAAATAAACAGCGCTTAATGGTTTTTCATAGAGTCTTAACAGTATTCAGAAAAGGAATAATCAAAAGTAAAATAAAGTAAAATAAAGTAAAATAACACTATAAAGTCTTTATTGTATAAATAATTTAGTAGCACACATTGCAATACTGATGCCGAAATTATTTTACAGCCCTAACTTGAATATTAATGAACTACAAGAATACTTTTGTGTGCCCATAAAACAAAAATAATGACTTTATTCAATTTTTTTCTTTTTTGGTACTTTTCCAAATCTTGCAGTCTATGGAGGATGAGGGAGCTCTCGGTTTTCACCTAAAATGTCTTAATTTGTGTTAAAAAAAAAACAACAACAAATGTCTCACGCCAAAAAAAAGGTTTTTCTTACTTAGATTTTTTCTTTTTCAAGGTCCAAATATAAAAAAGAAATAAATAAATAAATTAATTAATTAATTAAACCAAGAAACATTTTCAAGACAGAAAAAATATAGTTTTGTTTTAAGAAATAACATGCCAAAATAATTTTTGTCTTAAAACAAGCTAGATAATTTGCCAATGCGATAAGCACAAAAAATCTTTATTTTTTTTCCTTTTTACAAGATTTTTTAGTTTGTTTTAAGAAAAAACTCTCCTGATTTTGACATTATTTCTTAAAACAAGACTATATTTTTCTTATCTAGAAAATGCTTCTTGATTTTAGATATTTGGACAAGAAAACAAGACAAAAATATTAAAGTAAAACAAGCATTTTTGTTTGAAAAGCATGAGGAATTAACAAAATTTTCATTTTAGAGTGAGCTAACCCTTTTAAAAATAATTTGTCTTGTAACTGAAAATCAGGGATGTTGCATAATAAAATGCATATTCCTAATGCGCAGGAAGTGACAAAGAACCGGTCTCCGTCAACCACGTCTGAAGACTCCACGAAGTTCCAGAGCACCGGTTCATTAGACCGTGACCCATCAGAGATGGAGCTCTCCTCCTCCCCGTCAGCCAGAGACTTCCTGTCCCGCATGGACTCCAAACGCAAAGGGAAAAACCTCAATCCATTCTCATCCAACTCAAGCCAGAAGAGCCAGAACAGCGAGGCTCAGAGCCAGATGCCCAGCCGTCTGCTCCAGCTGGCCAAACCCAAGGAGAAGAAGGACAAGAAGAAGAAGAAGGGGAAAGGCCAGCAGAGCCAGACTGCAGGTGCAGAGTCAACACTCTAATCACATTAAATATTGGTTATTCTCTATAAAATACTATTCAGCTGATTTAATGCCCCTGTACATGGGTGAAGAGAAATATTCAACAAGATGATTAAATTATCTGTAATACTTGATTTGTATTGCTTGAATTCTGCAGTTGTAGTATCTACACTTTATTGATTGTTATTTCCTAGCACTGTTTTTGTCTTCCCTGTTCCTGTTACATGTCTGTGTGTTAGTCTGTGTTTTGCATATTGAAGTAATTTACATATATTTCAGATTTATTTAAATATTTATTTAGTATTTTGGTTGTGTCAAATTTAAACCTTCTCATCAACATGAAAAATAGTTTTTTCAATTTTTTATTTTTGTTTAAGTCACATTCTGTTTTTACACACAAAATGAAAATGCAATAAATCCAAAATGAACAACACAAGCATTAAAATAAATCACATTTTTAAAACGTTTTAAAATTTGTTCTCTGTGTGTTCGGGAATTATACATGCCTCCTCTCTGCAAATTTTTTAGTAATACCGTTCCTAAGGTATGTGTAATATTTTTAGTTTTTTAGAACAACAGTATCTCCAGCAGAAAAGATATCCAATGATGCCGTTTTAAATTGTAAAGAAGTCAATGATTCATTTTCAATATTTAGCCTGACAGGTTTACTGCTCCAAAATATTTCAAATCTTTCAAAAAATAAAATATATTGTTTTCAAAGGGGGGAAAAAAGTTTTTGTTTTAAAAAATAATATATTTTAGAGCAGTAATCACAATACCATTAAACCATGATATTTTTATCCAAGGTTATCATACTATCAGAATATTATCAGAATCTTATACCAGCTCAAGCCTAATTAAAAGGGAACCTAGCAAAACTGAGGAACAGCTGATGATGGCACAGTTTGATGTTTGGTTGACCAATCAGGGGAAAGGAGGCGTGTATAATTCCCGAACACACAGAGAACCAAATTTAAAGCTTTTTATTAATTTTGGTTTTAACGCATTTTCATTCTGTGTGAAAGAACAAAATGTGACAAAAACAAAAATAAATATTTGGAAAAACTAAATATTTATTTTCGTGACAGTTTAAATTTGCCAAAAACAGTAGTTTATAAGCCTAGTTCCTTTAAGTAAGTAGTGGATTTATAAATTTTACCTTCTTATGCATCAAATATGAGCTCCAAACTTTGTCTTGATGTGAATTCTTCTTTCATCATTTGGAATGTTTCCAAATTGCGTTGGTAGTAAATTTTCTTACCATTTTTTTTTATTTGTGCTATCTATTGGTTTCTTTAAAGCTGCTTCTGTCCATGACATGTTCACACCTAAAATTGTTTAAAAACATGATTAAGGGACAAGCAGCATTGTTTATTTATTCTCTTAAGTATAGTGATATCCACTGAAGCATCATACTTGTGCTTTACGCATTATAAAGCTTAAAGCATCAAAATCAGTAGTTGGTATCAGCTGATACCCATGGTATCGGTACTCAATATTGGCTGCAAAAATCCTAATTGGAGCACCCCTAACATATTTATTCATTTATCTTAAGATGTTTTTGCTATTAAAATTCGTCATTAGTGACATGGCATCAAACCTTCTTTCTTTTACAACTGCTCCTGTCTCTGACAGTCATGAACTTAACACCATAATATATAATCAGCCACATTTAACAGCAATGACCATTTATAATCCTGACACATATAACAACCTCCTTCCCTACACAATAATTACACCACAGAATATTGTTTTGCCCTCAGAAACATGACTCATTATATAAGCTCACTGTTTCGAATGCTGTTTCTTATAGTTCTTTGTGTCTTATCGCAGACTCTCAGAGCACTGTTGTTCCAGGCGCTACCCCAGACGGAGAGATCTTTTTCTGCTGATTCTTCAACCTCCGCTATCCCACAATGCCCGAACGCTCCACTCTCTGGATGTGGACTTGTAAAAACCAGAGCTGAAAACACATACCTGTGGTCATGATGGGCATCAGGCCTGGACAGGAGGTCAAAACTCATCATTTCCTTTCATATTTCAGCAGCCAGCAAACTGCACAGTGCCTTCATTCCCTCACATACACCTATGAACACAAACACACACACATTGACAAAAGACGTTATTTAGGGAACAGTATGTGTCGATAAGACAACTGTGGGCACTTTTGGACACATGGACATCCTGTGGAAATGAGAAAAGAAAAATTCAGGGGGCGTGCTGGGAACCAAATGGCATTCCTAGACAGCGAAAGTCTCCTTTAAATGCTCTTCTTGAAGGACATTTGATTAATGAAGATGCTAATAATCAAAGTTTGTGATGCAGTGACTAAGGTTTCCATTATTATTTTTTCATCCGTCTTGTTACTCACTAATATATACTGTCAGCAGACAAACTGAAATGTGTGGAAGCTTGTTTATGCCATGGTTTAAAAAAAAAAGAGAGAAAAGCATAAAAACAGTAATAGTGACTCTTTTTTTTCTACAATTTCTCAATTTTTCTACAATTTTTCTGGCACTTTAGAGGGAAAAGAAGGAAAAATTGCAAGATGTGAAAAATAGAAAGAAGTAAACATTGAGTTTATATCTCACAGTTTGTACTTTTTTTCTCGTAGTTGGTTGTTTGCGCAATTATAGTTGTTTATAGTTATTCTTTCAATTCTGGCTATTGAGTTTTTCTTCGAATTGCAAATTTGTCTTGCAACTGTTTGTACATTTTGTCGCAATTTAGTTTGCTTTTCTCACAATTTCTACTTTATTCCTTGCAATATTTCGCAAATCAGACTTTTTTCTCTCAAAATTGACAGTTTCTGACATTATTTCTGCGATTCGTAGAAAAAAGTCATAATTGCGAAATGTGAACGATTACACAGTCGCAATTCCGAATGTATGTTTTGCAGTTGTCATAGCAGTTAGTTTCTCTCATAATTGAGACTTTATTCCTAGCAGTTGTGAGCTCTTTAAACATTATTTCTTCACATTCTAAATTTAGTCCTCATTTCAGAATTTTATTTACCAAAGTGCAAAATTATTGCAAAATTGCCAGTTTATTTCTTGCGATTTTGCCTTTTTTTTTAAATTTTATTTGATGGTATTTCTTGCAATTCTGAGTTTATATCTCACTATTATTCTGACTATTAAGTTTTTCTTCAAATTGCAAATTTATGTCTTGCAATTGTTTGTACATTTCTTTGCAATTTAGTTTATATCTCACAATTTCTACTTTATTTATTGCAATATTTCGCAAATGAGACTTTGGAATTTCGGAATTTCTATTTTCTTTTCTTAAAATTGAGTTTTACATCGTTTTTGTGATTCGTAATTGCGTATAGTTGTGAAATGTGAACAATTACACAAAGTCGCAATTCTCAGTGTATGTTTTGACTTTTCTTTACTTTAATGCGAAAATATTGGGAAATTGCAAGTTTATTTCTTGTGATTTTTAAATCTCTTTCAAGTATTTCCTGCAATTCTGGCTTTTTTTCTGCAGTTCGGATAATTTTTGATAAGTACTTTGAGTTTATACAATAAAATCCTGATTTGATCTTGCAATTTGGACTTCATTATAATTGTGACTTCTCGCATTTGTGAGTTTATAGGTTTCCTGCACTTCAGACATTTTCTTAAAATTCTGACAGGTTAACTTTATAACTCGCTGTAAATTCAGTCGGAATTGCAAGAATAATTTATATCTCACAAAACATTCAGAATTGTTAGATAAAGAGTTGCGATAATCTTTTTTTATGTCTTCTTCTATGGCAAAAACAAGTTTCCATACGAACAAGTCTTCTGGAGCAGAGTTGGCTTAAATACAACCCCAGGGTTTTATTTCTTTTAAAAGGTCGCCAAATATACCTTTATGAATAAAAGGGATGCATTTAAAACATTTTATTGAGCACGGCAGAAATGGAAAAGAGTTTATTGCCTTAATTGTCTTGTAATTAATTTATTGGTTTTGTTAATCACGTTTTTTTTTTCCCATCCCTAAATGACTGAAAATGTACTTCACTGCGACTCTTAAAGGCTTCAAAAACCCACAGAAGTTTTCTTTTTCTTGTAAATCTCAATGCAATTTTAATCTTTAGCACTTTATAAGCACATGTCGAATGGGAAAAAACAAAACATAAAAGAAAAAAAAAACATGGCTGGCTTTAAAAATGAGACAATCTTTGATTAAAAGCCTCCTTTGTTACATGTGAGGGTTTTTTATTTGATAATCTTTTACTGTACCATATGAATGTTATGTACATTTGTTCAACCAAACACAAAGCTAGCTTTCAGGTAAGCTACCAAAAGAGCGGGTGATTTCAACTGCAGTATTTTTTATTTTTTACTCTAAAGCAAACTAAAACAGATGAGGGAATCATCAGCTTTACACAAGCTAACAAATCAAACTTGTATTAGCCACTATCCAGTTCAAAACAAATCAGAAATGTTGCATTTGACAAGCCAATGTGGTTAAAAAAACTATATAAACATACATTGTGTTTGTGTATTAAAAGTCTGGTTTGTACCCTCCAATAACTAGATTTTAGCCAGTCAAAAAGCCCTCGCCTGCTGGCCAGGCCAACCGTTCTGCTGAACATAAGGAAATATATTTTTTTGCAAAAAAAAGGGGGAAATTGTGCAGATTAAAAAAAGTGTTAATTTAAGCTTCCTGCTGTTTTTATTTGATTTTCTTGCCATTAAACTTCTACCTAACACGCCTCTGTAATGCATTTGAGTGATGAATGTCTCATTTATTGATCCTCCTGGGATTTAATTCATACGTCCGAGCGATTTTTATGATCCGTCAGCGTATTTCCATCTGAGGAAAATGTATTTGCTGACGTTGAGTGTGTTATTCTGGTGCTAAAATGCCTTAACCAACAGGGGGCGATGTGGCGATGTTCATCTTTTATTTCTTTTGTCCCACCTGAAGCATAAAACTCGCCAAAATGCAACTGTTTGTGACGGATTTTCAGGCGATTTGTTTATGATGCACTTGCCTTCGGTTTTTCTTGAATCCTGCAGTGTTTGTCGGCTCCTATTATAGGCCATAATTAGAGATGATTTACTCTTTTAAGGCTACTCTGAGGTGTTTCTGCTCATTTAATATACCGTTACTGAGGAATGCATTTGATGAGAATCTGTGGACGCTATGTTTATTTTATTTTTACCCACGTTGAATGGTTAAGCTTTCACAGCATTTAAAACAAACAAACATTACTGTCTCCCTATTTTCATTATTGAACTATTAAACATGGCGTCTACCATCATTAAAGTCTGTGGAGGTACCGTCATTTTTTGGCTTTTTTGTTTTTTTTTGGTGTAAAAATCAACCAATACAGGGGCAAAATACCACACATTGTGTAAATATATGTAAAAAAATATAGAATTGTAAAAGTATTAATTATGGATTTTCCTTTTGTGCTTTGATTTAAAGCTTTTTATAACTAGCTTTATTATTTATCTGCATTGTCCTTCTTGAATGAACAAGACATGGACAAAATGTACATTAAAAAAAATCTTAATAAATAATTATTGTACATCAGCCTGTGTCAATATTTGTTTTGCTGAAAGTGTTTTTAAAACATTCTCTAATTATCATGTCATCTGTCATGTGTAATTATATTACAGTTGAAGTCAGAATTATTAACCCCCCCCCCCAAGTTTATTTTTCCCCAATATAAAAAATATATATTTTTAAACACATTTCTAAACATAATAGTTTTAATTACTCATTTCTACTAACTGATTTATCTTTGCCATGACGACAGAAAATAATATTTCACTAGATATTTTGCAATACACTTCTATACAGCTAGTGACATTTAAAGGCTTAACTAGGTTAATTAACCGAACTAGGCATTAGGCAAGTTATTGTAACAATGGTTTGTTCTGTAGACAGTCAAAGAAAAATATAGCAAAGGGGCTAATAATTTTGACCTTGGGTGTTTAGAAAATTAAAAACTGCTTTTATTCTAGCCAAAATAAAACAATAAAGACTTTGTCCAGAAGAAAAAAAAAATGTTATCATACATACTGTATACATTTCCTTGCTCTGTTAAACATAATTTGGGAAATATTTAAAAAAAAGAAAAAATAATTCAAAGGGAGCTAATAATTCTGACTTCAACCGTATACTTAAAATATTGTAAAAGTACGGTATTTATACTAAACAATAAGTAAACACAAATTGCATATTATATATGTTAAATAGCTATATATATATATATATATATATATATATATATATATAAACTATTAAGTATTCATTTATATATTATATTATTTTATAACAAATATTGCGTTTAGTTTTATATTAATAATAATAGTATATTTATTCTTATTATAAAATTTTTAATATATTAAAATATGTGGAGCGCTTTAGATGATTTCAAAACTCCTGAGGTAAATTTGGTGAAATGTTGGCAGACTGACGGTGTTGAGAGCACATGTTTGATTGACGCACCTGTTACCGTTTTCACTTCGCTCTGCTCCAGCTTAGTAAGTTATTCCCCCGTAATGAATCCGTTTGTCCCGCTCGGAGCTCCGAGACGGTCGATTCTTCTCATGAGTTTGGTTGACGTGTTTGACCGGGGCCTGTGGCGTCTTTCCCTTCTGGACTCCACTGACTTTGCCTTTGTTCCTGTTGCCAAACTCCGCTGTTCTTTTGGCGGGCACAGAGGTAAGAAACAGCGATTGAAGGAAGTGTTGAGCCAACAAAAACTTGTTCCCTAAAGGATTAAAGACTAGTTTACTAGGTAATTTTACCTATCTTTCGAAGAATGTTCTCATTTACATCCAGTGCAAGGTTTGGTGGCCCTTGGCTGTGCATGTCGTTTGTTTTTGTTCTTTAAAATGAACTCAAATATATCTGTTTACCCTGCAAGACAAGTGACGCCATTTCGTGACAAGCATTTTACGCGCGAAACCTGATGTTACCGCTCTCGATGTACATGGAACTAGCATTAAATCTAGACATGAACAAAAACAGCTTTTACAAGTAGGCTTAAATATATTGTGTATTAAAGGAATTTAGCTAATCTTCTTGCCTGCTGTAATTAGAAAGTTTCTACATACATTTCCAGTGCAGGTTTTATTTTGTTTTATGGAGCTCAGCTAAAAATTAAACATTGCTTGATTGTAGGCTATGATCGTTAGAATGTCTAGAAATGTATTCTGATTTGAGATCAGGTAAAATCTACAGTTTAAGCAGCTTTTCCTTTCTCCAAAATAATTTTAAGTTATGTTTCCGGTTGTATTTCCAAGTCAGCCCTTTAATAGTGAGAATCACTTCAAACTGATCTGTATTTTATATAATAATGTTAATGAATAAAATAACACACAATACAAAATATACATTTGACCACTCCTTTTGTGAATCCATAATCGTGCCAATCGGTCTATGCAAGAGAAAAAATAATAATTCAACAGTCTGAAACTGGCCTATCTAGAGCAGTGGTTCTCAAAGTGGGGGTCGCGGGACAATGAGAGGGGGTCGCTTGGTGATTTACAAAAATTTGAATAAACTTTTATGATTACCATTGTTAATCCATAACCTACAGAAGATAAAAAAAAATAGTTACATAAAAAATACAGTATCCAAACAAAAAGCCATCAGCCTTTGTTTTTTTTTTTTTTTTTATTATTATTTTGTTTTTTTACATTGATTGCAACCCTTAGGGTTTTTACATTAGATTAATGACAAAGCAATGACAAAGCAATAGCGTCAGTGCACCAGATTCTACAGCACTAGCTAAACTTTCTGACACCATAACAGCACTCGCGTACATTTAAAATACATACAGGACACTAAACATAGAGTATGATGTGTAAGTGGCAGTCTCCAAAATTAAACCAAGAAAAGACTTGGGATGTAACTTAAATATTGTGCCCACCAGTCTAATTAGATGAGGTTAATATAAAATAATCATAATAAAAATGATATGGGACTGTTGCACTTTTTTGTGTTGTCAATATGCTTGTGTTTATATGGGCTGATTGGTTTGTGTGAGTGTTGTGTGCAACGTTTATGATTATAACGACTTACGAAAGTAGTGGGGGTCGCGAGTCATTAGCATTGTTATTTTGGGGGTCCCGGGCTGAAAAGTTTGAGAACCCCTGATCTAGAGCACTAGTGCACCAATAGAGATCGTAAGTGTTTACAAGACATTTTAGATAAATTGGTGTTGGTATTGACATACAGTAAAATTAGATGCACACCAGTAATCTCTAAAATAACTAATCAGAGGATACTGCAGGTCAGACACTAATTATCCCTCAAACACTGAGCACTTAAATGCATTTTATTAATATTCATTAATTTTCTCTATTTGGCTTAATCCCTTTAGCATGTTTTACACAACAAATGCCTAAAGTACACTCGAACTACAGTAACATTACCAAAAAAGTTGACCCCCCTGATTGTCAATATAAAATTCACACACTGATTACAAACCATTCTCTATCAGTTTCATCACAGCTGGCTAAATAGAAGCACACTACTTCTTTTTTCTGTTATTTAACCAAGTAAATATCATAAAAGAAGGAGTCCTAAAAACAGAAATAGTTGATAATTATTGGTTTTACATTATGCTTGTGTTAAGGCAACGACTGTCGAATTTGTATTACATTCCAGAGCTTCATAATCAACAGCGCCATGGAAGATAAATCTGTATCTCCGCTAACTGGCCAAGATCGCCAAGGAATGTATGAAAAAATTAAAAAGTTTTAAAACAGAAGGACGCAACAAAGCCTCATTATTAAAATATAGTGCCTCCAGCAGTTTGTAGTCCACTCCAAACCTTAGATTCAAAACAAAATATCTGTTGATATTCGAAGTATTGTAAAGTAGTGCTTCATATTAGTTACTAGCGAGAAGTTTGAATGTGCATGTAAATACAATACAATTATTATCAATATTCTTTTAGAAGTCATACAGTTTTAACACAAGCATTTGACGTTGCTAGTTTCATGACTATCAAAGCAGAAATGAAAGCTGCTGCTCTCCATTGACTCTCGAAATCCAAAATCATTCCGCATAAACCCACTTATTGATTCCTTGATCTCTCTAAAAGTCAGGGAAGGGGTTAAAATTGCATTTAAGAGACAGATTTAAACCACAAATGTCCCTCTTTGTAACTTGTGTTTTAATCAATTGAATCACATCTTCATGAAAAATGTCAGCTTCCAATTATGATATATTTTTTATTTGTGAATGACCCCTCAGTATCCATCACTGTTGTTTCATTTTGTCAATCTGTTGATTGTCTTTTCTTTTTTTGCTTTCCCCATCTCTCTCTTTTCTCTGGCTTTCCAAAGAGAACAAAAGATCAGCACGCAACCTAGAGAAACCTGAGCCTTTGTTGTGCGCTGACAGTCCATGTATAAATATCAGTTGTATGTCAAGGAGAACAATAGCTCAATGCCGCTGGTGTTTTCCGATACGTGAGGGACTGTGGCCTTTTATTTGGCCAGAACAGCAGCGTTCAGGAGATTGTTTAGTTTGCTTGCCGTTTTTCCCCATTCCTGTTTGACATCTCATTTTGTATTAGGACAGATCTTACTGACAGACGCTTGGATTTCCAGATGCCCTTTAATAAAAACCCGTTGGATGAAATTATAGGATATTTGATTAAGTCCATGTTAGAATGCAGTTCAGAGTGTTGATTTATGAGTGTATTGGGGGATTTCTGCAAGTCTGGCTGGCGATACTGTTAAAGCACTTGAGATGGTTGTTGTCGAGGTCATGCAGAGGTTTAATGGTCTGATTCATCATCGTATAGTCTCACTCTTGGCGAAGTTTGCCAAAAACACGTCATGCGTAATTTAATATAATGCACAAATGAGATTGTGTAATCATATATACATCTTAAGTGTCAAATGTAAAGTATGCTGAAACCCAAAGTACCTTTAATCTTTTATTTTAAGCTTTGTATTTTTCATGCTCCAATTAGATTAAAGTTACCTTCAAGTAAGGATGCATTAGGTCTTTTAGTGACGTGCATATATGTAGATAACCAAGTACCCCAAACACTAGACAAAAGTCTTGTCGCCTATCCAAGTTTTAGGAACAACAAATAATAACTTGACTTTTACGTTTGGTATCAGAAGTGGCTTATATGAAAGGCAAAGGCCTCTAGATTAAGCTTATATTACCAAAATAAAATATGATCAAGCCTTTGTTTAATTATTTAATTAGGATAGTATGGTCTTACTTTGCTGAGTAAAAAGTTTTGTCACTTAACATAAATAATGTACAGTATAGAATATAAAGTCATTGTGCAGTGGCGAAATAATTGATATTGTGTATGACTCCCATGAGCTTGGAGGTCTGCATCCATACATCTATGCAATGGCTCAAATCACTTAATAAAGTTGTATGGAATGGTAAAGAAAGCATTCTTGCAGGACTCCCAGAGTTCATCAAGATTCTTTGGATTCATCTTCAATGTCTTCCCATTCATCTTACGCCAGACATACTCAATAATGTTCATGTCTGGTGACTAGGCTGGCCAATCCTGGAGCACCTGTGGTTTGTAATGTAAT